TGCGCGTTCCGCGCGCCAGGGAGGGAGGTCCAACGCCGATCCGAGCAATCCGCGCGGAGCACCAAAAGTTTGTGTTGATTCAAGTGTTTGTTCCTCTACTTGTACTCTTAGAACAGCTGGTGATGCAGCTGCTGGATCACTGTGTAGGGGCCCGGCGCTGCTTCCACATAGACTTTGCCACGCGCGCAGGCGTACGCGTGCTCCTTCATCAAAAACGCACGGACCCTTCTGTCATCGATTTCGGAAGAGGAAAAGACACGGATACCGTTGCCCTTTCCCCTCGTCGCCAAGGCTGGATACGCCCAGACATGTTGGTCAGAATGCACTTTTGGTGAGGGGGGGCAGTTGCAGCAGTGCATTTGTTCTTCCCCCACGAGTTGCGAGTTTGAGCACACGGCTTGCAAGGCCATGCGTTGATGAGAGATTCTGCGTTCGCGAAGAATGTGAGGAAAGTGTGGTTGGGTATTGCGGGATGATGTTGCGCAGCATGTGACCCAAGAACCGATTAGCCTGCGTGCTGTGTGTAGGCAGGAAGTCAGAGCCAAGGGTTTCTCGTACGGACCTTTTGTGGGAGGTTTGATGCTAAAGGTGCGAGGTTGGTTGCACACATGTCGCACGCGTACGGCCAGCAGCAGTGACTGCAGCATTAGATCCTGTTTCGACCACGCATATAGGTGATCATCGGAGGTTCGCTTCTGCCATGTACCACGTTGTCGTGTGGCGCCACGGGTATTTGTTTATGTACGCGTCCGTGCCTTGATTCCGTGCGCATGGTGTCTTCGATGTATGTGATGTGGTAAGACATGTTCTTTCATATTAGTTGCATCCGGGTAGCTTGGAATGACGTGAAGAGTGTCACGAATTCTGGGGGGCATCGTTTCATAAGACGAGTTATGGTTCCTCCTCCCCCCTCCCATTCGTCGCCGGCCTGTGGACAAGAAGGCGAAGGACTACGAGGAGGAAGAGGAGGAGGAGGAGGAGGTACGGGATGACCACAGCAAGTCCAGCATGCCTAAGCAATGATGCAGTATACCCCCTCGCCCAAGTCCCCTGTTCGCGAGTACCTACAAGCATCCCTTCTCACTGTGCGAAGAACCCCCTTGCAAGGCGAATGCCCCATGGTCATGCCATTCGGGCAAGAATCCCGTTTGGGAAATGATCCGCCTTTCATCCTTACACCCACTGGGCATGCAACGAGATCTGACCAAAAGTTGAGGGAAGTTTCCAGCGCGAGCTATGTCATGAAAAAGAACCGCCCGCCCTCAGAGTATCCGTTTCATTATGTTTCGCTTCTGGTCGTGCAATCTAAGAATGCCTCGAGCAAGATCCCCAATTTGAAAAGGAGCCAACCCCCATACGTGCAATTGATGCACCATGTAGAACTTGAGGAACTCTCCAGCGGGAGCCCCGTTGTGACAAGGACCGCCTTCCATCCACGTAATTGCTGGAAGCCTTGTTTACGACGAAGGTGCGCAGCGCTGAGGCGACAGCTACATTGCGTTAACAGGAACTGCCTTTTACCCGTTCAAGCGCTTCAAGCTTTTCAGACGAATTTGCGCGGCGATGACGCTAGAATTTCACATTGAAAAAGAGCTGCCCTCCTCCATCCGTTGAATTGTGGAAGCTGTGGAAGCGAATGCGCACGGCGTCAAGGCGAGAGCCAACAGTTGAAAATTCTTCGCTCCCGCCCGTGCAACCGTAGGAAATGTCAAGTCCTAGGGCTACAGACAGGAGGCACATTGACTGAGAAATCGGCTTGCCACCAGGTGCCCCGCGAAACAAATAGTAGCATCCCCCGATGGCCCCAGGGACACCGAAGCTCCAGGGCACCTTAGGACCCTCAAGAATCGGCGAAACATGTGCCTCAAGATTCTTGGGCTTACGCCACACCGCCGACCCCTTGGGTGACTGCGGGTCTGGCGTGTTGCTCTTGATGGCCTCTTGGGCGCCTTTTTGGGGCTTCTGGGTGCCCTTGGGCGCTTCGTGGGGGCCTCTGGGGGGCCTGAGGCTTCTCAGGGGCCACGGGGAGCCGAAGGTTCGAAATGTGGGACAGATCAGGATGTATCCAGATAATTCTGCATACGTCGAGGATACTCACGGGCGGGTCGAGGAACAGCAGAATTCGTGAAGCCCCCAACGATTGGAGTCACCTCCCCGTCTTTCAGGTGTCCGCGTCTATCTGGTCGATTCGTTTCGGTGTCGGTTTCGGCCAGGCCGATCTGATTCGATTCCGACGATCCGGCGTGGTCGGAAGCGTGCACGACGTTGTTGCGCATCCCGATCCGATGCGGCCCGGTTCGACGCACGGTTCGATCCGATCCGATCCGACCGCTCTTGCCATTACGGTAGTTGGAGCTTTTTGGGGGCCGTCCTGAGGCTCTCTGGGGGGCCTGTTGGAGGCTCTGTCGGGCCACCTGGGGGGATCTTGGAGCCCGTGCGGATTCCCCCTCTGAGCCTCATCTCGGGGCCCTCCCGGGACGTCTTGGGAGCTCGTGGGACCGTCCGGGAGCTTTCTCGGGGCGTCTTGGGACAATCTTGGGGCCCTCATGGGGCCCTCGTGGGTCGATCATGAACGCCTCCTGCCCTCATGGGTCGGTGATGAACGCCTCCGGGGCCGCGGTGGACATCGTGGAACCCCACAAGGCGACTATGCGAGACATGCACGTTGTCCGAAAGGAAGGGGTCGATTGGGGCTCCCAGAGGGCCTCTTCGGAGCCCTCTGGGTGGCTTCGTGGGGCGTCTTGGGGGCCTCTGGGGCCGTCTCTCGAGGCCATCGTGAGCGATCTTTCGGCGGCCCGCGGCTCTCGTGGACCATCCGGAGGTCTCTTGGGGCACTCTCGACCTGCTTTGTCGCCCTCGGTCCCCCCATGATGCGTTCGGGAGGTGTTTTCGCATAGGCTCCCGGGGTGACTGGCGTTACCTCCTCCCCCAGACCCCCGCGCACTGTACCAGTAATGCCTGGGAACCCGCCAAGCTCGTGAGTCCTAGCAGCGTCCCCAGGATCCTGGCAGGGTTCATGCGGAACCTAACATATAGTTCTTACGGATCCTCCTGACAGGGTTCCATAGAGCCGTCCACTGAAATCCGAGGAGGGGGGAGGAGAAGGAGCAGAGGAGGAGGAGGAGGCGAAGGAGGAGGATGAGGAGGAGGAGGAGGAGCTGGAGGAGCAGGAGGAGCGAGGTGCAGACGGCAACTGTGCTTGCGCGAGCGCCGGGGTGTAAAGTATTGCGGGGGATTGTATCCGAGGCAAGAAAATCAAGAATCACAAGTAGCTTACATACTGGATGTGATACTTTTGTGGCCCGTTACGAGTTTCCAGAGTTGGTGTTCCCCGTCGAGACTTTGGAGGCGCTTGCAGGTTTTGCAGCGCACTGTGGTTTGCACACCAGCAGCGTGGTGAACGCAGGCCCGAGAGGTTGTGGTGCGCACGGCTGCTGTGCTGGCGCAGGCATGGCGTTGTACCCAAGCGTTGTGGTGCACGACGGCACTGCGGGTCAAAAGTAAAGGGCGGGCCGTGCCCCATGCCGGAAACACCAATAACTTAAAATACGTCATACACTGAATGTGGTAGGCTCGGGCCTGCCACGATTTTCCGGAGTTCGGGTCACGTCGGAGCCTCGAGGTGTCTTCTGGATCTGTGATGTGCACAGAGCATTGTGGTGGTCGCAGTCGCCAGCAGCTGTGGTGCACACGGCTGCCGTGGTCACGCGAGCACCATGTTGTGCAGGCGCTGTGGTTCACGCAGGCACTGCGGATCCTAAACAGGGGGGGGGGTCGTATCTTGGGCCAGGAAAGTCAACAATCACAAATGATTGACTTCATACATTTGATACGCTCGGCCCCGCCACGAGTTTCACGAGCCTGGGCCTCGTCGGGATTGCTGTATACAGTAGGGGTCTTGAAGAAGGAACCCTTTTCGTTGGGGAGGGGCTCCGCGTTCCTTAATTGTTTCGCAGCTTGCCTTAGGTTGTCCTTGAGTTTTCGATATGAAATCGAAGCGTAACTTATGGAAAATAGGGGCCTCGTTCCTTATTTAGGGTTCTTTAGGTCAGCCGGCCGGCCGACGTTGCCGGTACGCTCCCCCCCCGCCGACCCCCCCCCGTAATAAAACGACGCGAAGATCGGGACAAAATCGGATCGGGATAACTCGAAATTCTAGGCGCTTCGCGTATCCCCACCAGCCCGTCCAGAAACGACGCCCAGGCGAGTAGAGGGTCGTCCTGAGGGGCTTTTCGGCGTCTTTTCGGCGTCTTGGGTGCCTCGGGGGGGCCTCTGTGGGCCGTTCGGGATCCTCTTTGGGGCCTCCTGGGGGCCTCTTGGGGCCTCGTGGGGCCATCTTGGGGCCTCTTGGGGGTCTATTTGGGGCCTCCTGGGGGCCTCTTGGGGCCTCGTGGGGCCATCTTGGGGCCTCTTGGGGGTCTCTTGGGGGCCTCCTGGGGGCCTCTTGGGGGGCCTCTTGGGGCCATCCTGGGGCCATCCTGCGGCCTCTTGGGGCATCCTGGGGGCCTCTTGCGGCCATCGTGGAGGAAATCGATCAAAGAAGAGGGGAGCCTTAATTAGCGTTGCCCCCTGATAAGGCCAAAATGGGGCCAAAACCATAGTAAAATCAATGTTTTTGGCTTCCTCGCCGAGGCCGTTTTGGACGCTCTGACCGCTCCCCGCCCCTCCTGTCCAGGTCAGTGGGGAGGGGGTAGGGGGAGGGGTAAACCCCTCCCCGAAGGGGAAGAGGGAGGGGTGGAAGAGGAAACTCGTTAAACCACCGACGCCCAGAGGGCTGGTGGGATCTCTGAGAATCGGCGGGTTTGGAGGATGTATTGGGCGCCGCGGCCGCTCCAGAGCGTTCCGGAACGCTCTGAGAGCGCTCCGGAACGCTCTGGAGCGATTTATCCCGATCCTAGCCCTGTTTTACCCCCCGTAACCCAAGTCTACCCCCAATGGAAAGAGGAGCGATCCCCCGAGGTCGGTGCGTTACCCAGAAGCGCCGACCGCAGGGTGTGAGCATGACCCAGGTCGGCCGACAGTTTGCCCAGCGCCCCACGAGTGCCAGTCGTTGTTTCGCAGCCTCCGAGAGGTTCTGGTCAGGAGGGGGAGAACACACACACACACACACACACACAGACAGAATTGATCGACGACTCCCGGGAAAATACAGGGAAACATAGGAAGTGGGGGGGGGGGACACGAAGACCCTGAAAATACGGGGGAAGACGGGGAGCCCTGGGAGCTGTGCCCCTGTGTCTCGGCCACGCGCAGAGAGGGGGGATAGGGGGGAGGGGGGAGGGCTTCTTCGAAGCAGGCTGCCTCTCAGAAGGCGCCGCCGAGGATCTGCGCGTCCCCGGGCCGCCCTCGGGCGGGGCCGCCCTCGCCCGGCGCCGAGGTCCAGCGGGACTCCTTCTTCACCGCGTGCCACCAGGCCAGGATACAGGCGGGGAGCGGCCGGCGCGGGCGAGGCCCGGGCCCGGCGCGGGCAGAGAGAGAGGGCCGAGGGAGGGGCGGGGAGTCCCAGAGGCACGGGTCGAGGATCGAGGGAGGAGGAGGTTCGAGGTGCGAGGTTCGAGGTTCGAGTGGGGCGCACGAGGAGGAGGAGGAGGAGGAGGAGGAGGAGGAGGAGGAGGAGGAGGAGGTTCGAGGTGCGAGGTTCGAGGTTCGAGCGGGGCGCACGAGGAGGGGAAAGAGGAGGAGGTTCGGGGATCCAGGCTCGAGGCTCGGGGTTCGAGAGACCGCCCCGAGGCCCGACGCCACGAAAGAAACACAGCGTCATGAAAAGATGCGGCTGGAGCTCTCGACCGCATTTTTTCGCGGCACCTCTCTAGCGTGATCGATCCGTAAGGGCTCGGGGGTCCGAAGTTGAGCGAAGACGCGTGTCGTGATTCCTTCCTCGACGCCATGACCGACGAAGAGGTCTGCGGATCGAGGCCGTAGCCCCAGACGCCAGGCAGCACAGACTGCAGGGGGCCTGCGCCGAGCTCCACAGTTTCAGTTGCGCCACAGAGGCCCACCCGGGAGCATCCAGAGTCGGTGTCGAGCCCATTGGCCCTTGGGCACGTGGTGCGCGCCGGCGGCGAGCGAGGAGGGGAAGCGAGCAGGAGAAGGCCCTCTCGGAAGGCGGCGGGGCTCCTCGGAGGCCCTCCGGCCTTCTGCGAGGCTCTCTGCGTCCTCGGGGAAGGCTCGGGTCGGGTGAAAGGGGGGGATAGCAAAGGGGGGGGGGGGAGAATCAGCTTTCGTAGCTGATTTTCCCGGCGCCTCCCGGCGCCAGAGGGAGCTATGCATCGAGGAATGGGCCCCTCGGTGAGGCCGAGACCAGCTGCATGCAGCAAGTTTCGTAACCCCCCCTTTCCCAATCCCCCCCAATTCGTCCGGCCCGAAGGGCGGAGGAACTCTCTCAGAAGGCCGGACGCTTTCTCCGAGCCTTCTGAGGCGGCCCGCCCCACCTCCTCTTTCCCCCTGGGCTGGCCGCCGAGCGCGGGACAGCGCACCAGAGGCCGCCGTGGACCGGCCGGAGGAGGGGCCTCCGGAGGAGGGGCCTCCAGGGGGCCCAGCGGGCCTCGCCGGGGCGGGTCGCCAAGCCACCCGCAGGGGCGCAGAGATGGCCGCGCGTCGCGCCCTGGGCCCAGGGGCGCGATAGAGCCGGGGCCCTGAAGAAGGAACCTCGTTCGTTGGGGAGGGGCTCGGTGTGCCGTGACTGCTCTACAGTTTGCCTTCTCTTTTCCTGAGGTCTTCCATGGGAAGTCGAAGTTCAGCTTATGGGAGAAGGGGGCCCCGTGCCTTATTCAGGGTTCCGTAGGTCAACGCCCCGACTGAAGGGGGGGCGGGGAGAGACGCCTCGCCATGCAGTCGGCCTCGATTAAGCAGGTCGGCCCGGGCAGCTCCAGGCTGCCCCTGCGTCCTGGCGCCTCGCGATCCATGCCCTCTTGCACTCCCCTGGGAGTTTACCAGTTTGAAACATATCCCTATCCCTATGTTTGACATCACCTCACCTCGATGCCGATTAAGGATTCCCTCAGTCTCTGAGGGCCTATCCCTAAGATTGTCCTCGCTTTTTGCTCGCCCATCTTAGGGATAGGGATAAGTTCGAGGCTGGTTAGGAATGCGGCCCTCGGACGAGTCTCGCGTCCTCCCGCGCGTCCTGCCCAATCAAGTCCGACTGTAGCGGGGGACAGTCCTGGGGAAAATCGGCACGGGCACAGTCGGGCCAGGTCTCCTGGCCAGGGGCAGCGTTAGGGGGGACAAGCATGTGGGGGGGGACGCATCGACCCCGAATCGCCCGTTGATCGCCGCGAGGGGCCCGATAGCCCCAACCCGCCCAGGAAGCTGCAGACTCACGATCGGGGGCCTACCACCGATCTATCGGCGATGTATCGCCGGTTCCAGGTCGATGTTTCCCCCCCTCTGCCGGTCCCCCCTGCACCGTTGCCCTTCATTCGGGCGTCGCGCGGGGTCGGGGCAGATCGTATCGGATCCAGTCGGGCCGAGTCAGGTCGGACTGAGTCTGAGCACTCTCCGTCTGCGCGACCGTGGAGTCTGGTTGTGCAATCGGTTTGTTTTTGTTCGCCTCTCGCTCCAGTGTCCTTCCGCGCACCACCGTTTGGTCGACTTCGGTTTGGCCAATATTTGCATTGCATGCAGGTCGATCGGCGCATTCTTGGACACCTCGCCATCCGCCTTCCTCCCCTCCCCTCCCTCCAGCATCAATTTCGATCGGATCGATCCGACTCGATGTCGGTTTTTGCTGGCCCGATCCGATGCGATTCCTAGACTCGACTTGAGACGTGGGTTTGAGCTACAGGGCCCCAAGAAGGGAAATCGCCCAGAGTGGCGTTTCGAGTCGGGGAAGTGGTTGAAAGCGCACCCCCCGCAAACATTGAAAATAGTTGTGCAAATAATTGGGGCGCGCGTTAGAAATAGTTGCGTTTTTTCTCTGAGGAAAAAGCCACCGAAAGGCGGGGGGTGCGATTTCAATGTTTGCGGGGGGTGCGATTTCAACTACTTCTCACACGGGTTGTACATCGCAGAGAACTCCACTCCTGCGGCCCCCGAGCCAGGGTTCGCATAGCGTCCCCCCGCCTATTCGTCCGGCCCGAAAGGCGGAGGAACGTTCTCAGAAGGCCGGACGCTTTCTCCGAGCCTTCTGAGGCGGCCCGCCCCACCTCCTCTTCCCCCCTGGGCTGGCCGCCGAGCGCGGGACAGCGCACCAGAGGCCGCCGTGGACCGGCCGGAGGAGGGGCCTCCGGAGGAGGGGCCTCCAGGGGGCCCAGCGGGCCTCGCCGGGGCGGGTCGCCAAGCCGCCCGCAGGGGCGCTGAGGTGGCCGCGCGTCGCGCCCTGGGCCCGTGAGCGCGATAGCGGGGGGAGGGAGAGACGCCTCGACGTACAGTCGGGGCCCTGAAGAAGGAACCCTTTTGGTTGGGGAGGGGCTCCGCGTTCCTGAAGTGTTTCACAGCTTGCCTCAGGTGTTCCTTATTTCTTCGATAGGAGATCGAAGTTTAACTTATGGAAGAAAGGGGCCTCGTTCCTTATTTAGGGTTCCTTAGATCAACGCCCCGACTGTACAGTCGGCCTCGATTAGCAGGTCGACCCTGGCAGCTCAAGGCTGCCCTTGCGTCCTGTGCCTGGCGATCCATGCCCTCTTGCATTCCCCTGGGCATGCGGCCCTCGGACGAGTCTCGCGTCCTCCCGCGCGTCCTGCCCAATCAAGTCCGACTGTAGCGGGGGACAGTCCTGGGGAAAATCGGCACGGGCACAGACGAGCCAGGTCTCCGGGCCAGGGGCAGCGTTAGGGGGGACAGGCATGTGGGGGGGGGACGCATCGACCCCGAATCGCCCGTTGATCGCAGCGAGGGGCCCGATAGCCCCAACCCGCCCAGGAAGCTGCAGACTCACTGTCGGGGGCCTACCACCGATCTATCGGCGATGTATCGCCGGTTCCAGGTCGATGTTTCCCCCCCTCTGCCGGTCCCCCCTGCACCGTTGCCCTTCATTCGGGCGTCGCGCGGGGTCGGGGCAGATCGTATCGGATCCAGTCGGGCCGAGTCAGGTCGGACTGAGTCTGAGCACACTCCGTCTGCGCGACCGTGGAGTCTGGTTGTGCAATCGGTTTGTTGTTGTTCGCCTCTCGCTCCAGAGTCCTTCCGCGCACCACCGTTTGGTCGACTTCGGTTTGGCCAATATTTGCATTGCATGCAGGTCGATCGGCGCAATCTTGGACACCTCGCCATCCGCCTTCCTCCCCTCCCCTCCCTCCAGCATCAATTTCGATCGGATCGATCCGACTCGATGTCGGTTTTTGCTGGCCCGATCCGATGCGATTCCTAGACTCGACGATCCGATGCGGCCCAGTGTTTGAATGGCGTTGTTGTGCATCTTGGCGCAGCCGATCTGACTCGATTGGATTCTGACTTCGTGCCGACGCACCCCGATCCGACGAAGATGTCGAGTCGATCCGGCTTCCCGATTCGATGTTGATTGATCTTGCCCTTCGGAGTCGGTTGGGGGTTTGAGGTGGCCCAGCACTGGTTCGGCCAGCAGGAAGGGAGGGGGGTTCGAGGCGCTGGGTCCGAAGAGGGGGTTCACCTTTGTTGGGCCCCCGGACCGTCAGTCAGCAACGGATATAGGTGAAAAATTGAAACAGATCGACCCCAGGAGGGGTCCGAGGACCGATCTTGAGTGGATTTGGCTTCACCCCCCCTCCTATCCGATATTCTCCTCTACGTCTCAGGGCTGCAGCCTTGCGGCACTCCACTTCGTGCCAGATGCATGGTAGCGGGTGTGCACATATACACATGTATGTATGTATGTATGTATGTATGTATGTATGTATGTATGTATGTATGTATGTATGTATGTATGTATGTATGTATGTATGTATGTATGTATGTATGTATGTATGTACGTACGTACGTACGTACGTACGGATGGATGGATGGATGGATGGATGGATGGATGGATGGATGGATGGATGGATGGATGGATAGATGGATGGATGGATGGATGGATGGATGCGTGTATGCAGGCATGCATGTATGTATGTGTGTACGTGTGTATGGTTGTATGCATGTATTGTATGTATACATGTATGCATGAATGTATGTATGTGTGTATGTATGTATGCGTATGCGTATGCGTATGCGTGTATGTATGGATGTATGAATGGATTGATGTATGTATGTATGGATGTATGTATGTATGTATGCATGTTATACGTGTCTGTTTGTGTGTACGGATGCGTGCGTATGTATGTATGTATGTGTGTGTATGTATGTCTGTATGTCTGTATGTCTGTATGTCTGTATGTATGTATGTATGTATGTATGTATGTATGTATGTATGTATGTATGTATGTATGTATATATGTGTGTGTATGTATGTATGTATGTATGTATGTATGTATGTATGTATGTATGTGTATGTATATATATCCCGGGGGACCCGGCCCCCTGGCCGAGCCCAAGGACCTCGGGGGCGCATGGGGGTGCAGGGCCCCCAGGGCCGCTCGGAAGGGTTCCCGGACGGCTCCAGAAACCGCCAGGGCGGGCTCCAGCCCAGCCAAGACAGCCCGCGAGCGCTCCAACACGCGCCAGCATGGCTTCCAGACGAGCCCAGCGGCCACCAACACGCCCCAAGCGGCCTCCAAGACGCCTCCCAAGAGAGCCCCAAGAGGCAAACAACTTTTTTTTCCGATTGGTTTTTTTCAATGTTTATTGTCTTCTCGCTTTTCCAGCTTTCCGACGCTCCAAGACGGCCCAAGAGGCCCCCAAGAGAGCCCCAGGACAGCCCAAGAGGCCCCTAAGCTGGCCCCAGGACGGCCCAAGAAGCCCCCAAAGGCGTCCCGAGACGGCCCAAAAGGCCCCCAGGACGGCCCAGGAGCCGCCCAAGACAGCTCCAGGAGGGCCCCGCCATGGCCTGAAGACTGCCTAAGCGAGCCCAGCGGACCTCCAACACGCGCCAGCATGGCCTCCAGACGAGGCCAGAAGCCACCAACACGCCCCAAGCGGCCTCCAAGAGGCCTCCCAAGGAGCCCCAAGAGGCCACAAACGTTGATTTTTCATTGGTTGTTTCGATGCTTTTTGCCTTCTCGCTTTTTCTGTTTTCCGACGCTCCCAGACGGCCCAAGAGGCACCCAAGACAGCCCCAGGACGGCCCAAGAGGTCCCTAAGCCGGCCCCAAGACAGCCCAAGAGGCCCCCAAAGGCGTCCCAAGATGGCCCAAGTGAGCCCCAAGACAACCCAGGAGCCGCTCAAGACAGCCCCAGGAGGGCCCCGACATGGCCTGACGACTGCCTAAAAGGCCAGCGAGCCTCCAACACGCGCCAGCATGGCCTCCAGACGAGCCCACAGGCCACCAACACGCCCCAAGCGGCCTCCAAGAGGCCTCCCAAGAGAACCCCAAGAGGCCACAAACGCTGATTTGTCATTGGTTCTTTCGATGCTTTTCGCGTTCTTGTTTTTTGGCTTTCCGACGCTCCAAGACGGCCCAAGAGGCCCCCAAGAGAGCCCCAGGACGGCTCAAGAAACCCTTAAGCCGGGCCCAAGACGCCCCCAAAGGCGTCCCAAGACGGCCCAAGAGCGCCCCAGGACGGCGCAGGAGTCGCCCAAGACGGCCCCAGGAGGGCCCCGACATGGCCTCAAGATTGCCTAAGCGAGCCCAGCGGACCCCAAGAGGGCCCCACGAAACCGCAAGAAGCCCCCCGAGGCCACCCAAGCGGGCTACTGGGCTATTGGGCAAGGGGGCTCGCGCGCGTGCTGCCGCAACACGCCGGCGCGCCCGTGACCCCACCGCCAGGCACGGCGCGCCGCTGCAACACGCCGCCGCGTCGAGCCAAAAACGCCTTATCACTCCTTAGAGTGCTTCTGCCGCACTTGCTCTTCCTCTTATTCCCCCTCCTCCCGCGGATCCTGACGCCACCCTGCCGTGACACGAAGCACCGCGAATCCCTTCCCGGACACACTCTTAGCCGGCGGGGCAGAGCGCCAAGATTGCCCAAGAAGCTCCCGACATCGCCCCAAGAGAGCCCAAGAGCCCCCAAGAGGCCCACAAAACGGCTTTAGAGGGCCCCTAAACGGCCCATGAGAGGCCAAGTAAAGCTTTAAAAGCTTCAGGACGGCCCCAGTAGGGGCCCCAAACGGGCCCAAGAGGCGCCCGAGACTGCCTAAAAAACATCAAGACTGCCCCAAGAGGGGCCCGAGGCGGGGAACACGAACCGACAATTCGAGCCTTCCGCCCGACATGGCCCCCGGGAGAGCCCCAGAAGCCCCCAAGAGGCTCCAAGAACCCCACAAGAGGCCCCCAAGAGGCCCACAGATGCCCCACGAGGCGCCAACACCTCCCACGGAGGCTTCAAAACCTGTTGAACTACCGTCTCCGGAGCCGGCTGGAACCTAAGCGCGCGCGAAGCGCGCGCGTGGTTCTAGTATGTATGTATGTATGTGTGTATGGGTGTATGCATGTATGTATGGATGTGTGTATGTATGTATGTATGTATGTATGTGTATATATGTATGTATGTATGTATGTATGTATGGATGGATGGATGGATGGATGGATGGATGGATGGATGCATGCGTGTACAACCAAAATTGATAGACAAACCTACCTATACACACACTTATATATATATATGTGTGTGTGTGTGTACAGAAAGAAGAGAGAGAGAGAGAGAGGAAACAAAAAAAACAAACAACAACAAACAAAAAAAAAAACTACAAACAAAACACTAGAGAGAGAGAGAGTGATGACACGGCATAGGCGTTCTGGGGGCCAAAACCAGGTGCCCCAAGCCTCTATGGGTGGACCGGGGCCCGGTGGACCCTCTAAGATGGCTCCCAGACGGCCCCAGAGGGCCACAAGACGGCCGTGAAGCCCGCCCAGACGGCCTCCGATGGCCTCCAGACCGCCGGAGAAAGCTGAAGATGGCCCCAAGGCGGCCCCAACAGGCTCCCACGAGGCCCACGAGGGGCTCCCAAGAGGTCTTTCAACACCATTGGAAAACAACGTTGTTCAAGATCTTGCCCCATCGCTTCCGATGAGCCTCTGAGGCCCCGGGATAGTCCAGCAACGGCCGTCGAGGGGCCCCAGGAACGCCCAAGACGGTCGACTGGAGCCCACGAGACCCTTCAAGATGGCTCCGAGACGGCCGAGGATAGCTTCGAGACGGCCCTCGAGACCGCTAAGATGGCTCCAGATGGCCTCCAGACAGCCCCAGGCAGCTCAAGAGGGCCCCAAGGCGGCCTCTGCAGGCTTACAAGAGGCCCCCAAATAGTGTCAAAGGTCTGTCAGGAGACGAAAACCAATCAAAAACCAAGGAGACCACTAGGTTTTCCCAGAACTCCGCTTTTCGCTTCCGGGAGAATTCTCAGGCCTCAGGATGGTCCGAAGATAGCCCACGAGAAGCCCCGCAGCGGCCCAAAACGGTCGACTGGGCCCTTTTTTATGACCCTTCAAGATGGCTCCGAGGCGTCCAAAGATGACTTCGAGACGACCCTCGAGCCCGCCAAGACGGTCACAGCTAGCCTCACGACGGTTCCAGGCAACTGAAGATGGCCCCAAGACGGTTTCTGGTGGCCCCCACGAGGTTTCTAAGAGGCACCACCCAGGAGGCCAATATCACTCACAAGCCTAAGGAAAACCACGGGTTTCTGAAGATCTCGCCGTGTCGTTCCCGAGAGTTCGCTGAGGCCTCAGGACGATGCAAGAATCGACCTGCCCTTCAACCCTTCCAGATGACTTCGAGACGGCCGAAGGTGACTTCGAGACGGCCGTCGAGACCGCCAAAGCGTCCCCAGATGGCCCCCATGCAGCCCCAGACAGCTCCCGATGGCTCCAAGACGACCACACCACACCCCCAAAGCAGCTTCCAATACGCTTCCAAGAGGACCCCAGCAGGCCAAAATCCTTCACTCCCGAAGGCCCTGCCGAGCCCCCCACACGCAGCCGGCCTGATATTCCCAGAGGCCTCTCCGACAATCTCAAAACCACGATAATGGCGATGGTCATCATGGCGATGTTATGATTCATGGTTTGAGGATGCAGATGGTGATGATGGTGATTGTGGCGGTGGTGGTGATGACCATGATAAGCATGATGGTGATGATGATGGTGGTGCTGATGATTATGATGATGGTTATGATGATGATGATGATGATGATGATGATGATGATGATGGTGATGGTGATGGTGATGGTGATGGTGATGGTGATGGTGATGGTGATGGTGATGATGATGATGGCGGTGGTGATGATGATGATACTGGTGATGATGATGATGATGATGAAATTGATGATTATGCTGATGATGATGACGATGATGATCTTAATAATGGTGGTGTTGATGATCATGATGATGATGATTATGCTGATGATGATGGCGGCGGCGATGATGATGATGATGATGATGATGATGATGATGATGATGATGATGATGATGATGATGATGATGATGATGATGATGGTTGTGATGGCGTCGGTGTTGGCGATGTCCATCATGGTCACGATGCTGATGGCGATTATCATCTGGATGGTAATCATGGTGGTCATGATGTTTTCGATGGGATCAGGATGGTTAGCAGTATGATGATTATGATGACGTCGATGGCGATGTTGTAGATAATTGTTATGTAGATGATGATGGTGATGATGCTGATGATGATAATGAGGATGATGATGACTATAATGATGACGAGGACGACGATTATGATGCTGATGATGATGGCGATGATGATGATGGGGAGGAGGAGCACGAGGAGGAGGAGGAGGAGGATGAGGATGAGGATGACGATGACGATGACGATGACGATGGCGGTGGTGATGATGGTGATGATGATGATGATGATGATGATGATGATGATGATGATGATGATGATGATGATGATGGTGGTGATGGTGACGGTGATGACGATGTCCATCATGGTCACAACGGGCTTACTTCTTCCCCGCGCGCGCGTGGCTGGATGGGAGGTCGGCCTCTGGGGGCAGGGCGACGTTGGGGGGCAACGTTTGGGGACGACGTATGGGAGCGTCTGGCTCCGCCCTCCCACTCGGCGGCGAGCGAGGGGGGAAGTGAGAAGGAGAAGGCCTCCTCAGCAGGCGGCGGGGCTTCTCAGAAGCCCTCCGAGCCGTCTGCGAAGCTGCTGGGTGCCTTCGGGGAAGGCTCGGAGGAAAGACTCCTCGGAAGGCCGGGGAACCTCTGGAGCCCTCCGCGAAGGCTCGCCCCCTCTCGCTTCCCCCCCCCCCGGGGCTCGCCGCCGACCTCCGCAAAGTGCGGGGCGCCACGCCTCGAGGTGTCGAGGAGGCGCCGGCGCAGGCGAGGCGCCCGCCCGAGCCGCCCTGCGCGCGCGCGCGCCCGCGCCGCCCCGCGCCGCCCGCGCCCGCGCCCGCATGGCGGACGCGGCGGACGCCGCCGGGCCGGCGGAGCGCGCGGCCGAGGCGCCGGAGGAGGACGCCGCGGGCGAGCAGGCCCTCGGGGGGCAGCGCCAGGGAGGAGGGCGCGAGGGGAGGAGGAGGGCGCGAGGAGGGGGGCGCGAGGAGGGGGAGGAGGAGGAGGGCGCGAGGAGAGGGGCGCCGGGGCAGCGCCGGGGAGGAGGGGGGCGCGAGGAGGGGGGGCCCTGGGGGGCACGAGGGAGAGCGAGAGGGCGGCGTGCCTTTGGAGAGCCAGGTCCGGCTCGAGGGGGCTGCGTGTGCTTTTTGCCAGATCCGGCCTCAAGAGCGTGCAGCTCGTGTGCTGTAAGCACGGTCGGGCTTGAGGGGCACGAGAGCGAGGCGGGTTCGGGGAGGGGGCCCGAGTGTTCTTCGTGCTCGTTGGGTGGTCTCGTGCATCCTGGGGGAGGGTATACCCTCGAATGTTCTTCGGTCTGGCCGGCGGAGGGTCTCATGTTCTAGGTCCGGCCGTAAGAGGGAGGATGGAGATACGGAGGAGGAGGAGGAGGAGGAGGAGGAGGAGGAGGAGGAGGAGGAGGGGAAGGACGAGGAGGAGGAGGAGGAAAAGGAGGAGGAGGAGGAGAAGGGGAAGGAAGAGGAGGAGAGGAGGAGGAGGAGGAGGAGGAGGAGAGAACGAGGACGAGGAGGAGGAGGAAGAGAAGATGATGAGGCGGTTGAGGGGAAGGAAGAGGAACGTTAGGGGCATCGTCAGATCAGGGGCAACGTGACGGGCAACGTCAGGGGCAGCGATAGGGGGGGACGTTAGGGGGCATCGTCAGATCAGGGGCAACGTTAGGAGCAACGATAGGGGGCTTCGTCGTCGTGTCTCGGGGGCAGCGTTAGGGGCAAGGGAGGGTAGCGATAGGGGCAACCACAGGGGGCTTCTCGTTGTGTCTGGGGGGCAACGTCAGGGGTACAGGGGAAAAGTGATCGGTTCTCCGACGTTCTCGTCGGTTCTCCGTGGCTCTCCAGCCTCGGCGTGCCCTCCAGCGGCTGCGGCTCGTCGAAGGGCAACGCGGGAGGGGGGGGGGGGGGGGCAAGGTCGGGAGCTTGTGGTCTGCGCGTCGCGCCTCCGGTTCTGGCCCACCACGCCTCGGCGCGACACGCTAACCGACGTACTGCCTGTCCTCGGGCGTCAGCGTCCCGAGGCGTTTACGGCGCGCCGCCCCGCGGAGAGCGGAACGGCACGCGGCCCGCCTGCGAGCAGCAGAGCGCGTCGCCGGGGCTGCCGCCGCGGCACGCCGAGCAAGAGTGCCCCGTCGCAGGGGCGCAAGGGGGGGGGGGCGCCTCGGGGCGGAGGGCTCGGAGAGGGGGAAGCTTCGGGTTCGAGGTTCGCGATTTTCGTGCGCGTGTCGGCTTCGAGGTTCGGGTTCGGGTTCGAGGTTCGAGGTTCGAGGTTCGGGTTCGAGGTTCTCGGCTGCGTCTTCCAGCCCCGGGGAGCCACCCCCGCGGCTGCGCCTCGCCAGGGGGCGCTCCAGGGGGTGGTGCCCAGATCGTATCCAACGGCCGCTGGAGAGCCGAGCCACGACCCGAATACCGGAGGGGGAACGACGAGGGCGGGACGGGCTCGGGGGGGGGGGCCGTCGACGACCCATCGCCCATGCATCGCCGACAGGGGCTCGATGCAGTGGGGGCCCAGACCAAGAAACACCCTGCTTGCCTCCAGGGTGCCCCGGGTTTCTTGGGTTTCGATGGCCTTGCGATGGAACGCGTGACGTTCCCCCGCCAAAGGGCATTTGGCGTCCTGGGGTCTCAGGGCCGGGTTTCTTGTGGAAGGTTTCTTGTGGTCGGGCCCCTACTGCTGTAGCCCCCGCCCCGAGGCGAGCGGGTTTTCGCTATCGGGGGCCTACCGCCGAGACGGATCGGCGATGCCTCGCCGGCGCGAGCTCGAGGTTCCCCCCCCCATCGGTGGTTCGAGGATGGGGCCCTGAGGGATGAGGTCCTGAGAATAGGCAAAGGGTCCAAGGGTTGGATTTGCACCGATTGAGGCACCTCGTCCCTGGGACCCCATCCCTCAGGACCCCGTCTTTGAGCCACCGACCCCCGAGCCCGTGCCCCGCCTTCGCCTTCGCCGGTGGCCCAGCAGAGCGGGCGCACGGTGCTCCTCCTCCTCCTCCTCCTCCTCCTCCTCCTCCTCCTCCTCCTCTTGGAGGCGCGGAGCTGGCTCGTGGGCACCCTCGTCGTCGGATCGGGGCAGCCCCCCCCCCGCGAAGGCGCGAGGCCAGGGCCGCCCGACGTGGCGACGGGGCACGCCGGCTCTGCAACATCATCAGCATCACCATCAGCATCATCATCATCATCATCATCAGCAGCATCACCATCATCAGCAGCAGCATCATCATCATCATCATGATCAGCATCACCATCATCATCACCATCATCATCATCATCATCAGCAGCAGCATCAGCATCATCATCATCATCATCATCATCATCACCATCATCAGCAGCACCGGTATCATCATCAGCAGCAGCAGCATCATCATCATCATCCACATCATCAACATCATCAGTCTGATCATCACCATCATCATCATCATCATCATCATCATCATCATCATCATCATCATCATCATCATCATCATCATCATCCACATCATCCACATCATCAACAACATCAGCATCACCAACAACATCAGCATCACCAGCATTATAAAACTCATCATCTTCATCACCATCATCAAAAGCATCACCATCATCATCATCGTCATCATCATCGTCATCATCAGCAGCATCATCATGAACGGGGACTGTCGCTGATGCACGCGTCTCTGTCGACTCCCAAGAAAAGATTGGAAAATATGGGAGGCGACGCCCCAGAAAATAGAGGGAAATCTTGGGGATCCTGGGATTTCTGTCTATTTCTTTTGTGTGTCCCTGGGCCCCTCTAATTTTATTATCCTTGCTTGCGCCTCCTCGGTCGGGAGGGGATGGGAGGGGAGCTCGAAAGACCACGATGCGCTTCGCGGGACCAGATCTCCGGGCGATCCCCTCCTCTTCTCCCTCCTCGTCCTCCTCCCCCCCCCCAAAGAGCACTGGGTGTCCAAGACTGGGCGATGATCTTGCAGGAGCTGTGCGCGCCTGGAGGCCTTCGCCGGGCGGGGCCAGGACAGGGAAAATCGTTCCAGAGCGTCCCAGAACACTAAGCTTGGCATCGCTCGGACGTGTGCATTTTTCCTTCGGCGAGGACCATCGAGGAGCATCCTTGATCATTTGGCGCAAAAACCACGCACGAAACCAAAAAGAACACAGGGAATGGACGTCCGAGCGATGCCCAGTTCCGGCACGCTCTGAGGAGGCCGTCTTCCCAGACCGCCAGATCTCGGAGTTCCCCGTTGCTGCCCCCGTCTTGGCCGTGCGACTCTCCGAGGCGGCGGCGGCCAGCGCGAAGACAGGCTCGACGGGGCGCGGCCGCCTGCTTGTCAGCTCTGCCGGCGTACCCAAGGGCGCATCCATGCCAGCTGCGGCAGATTCGTATCGTGTCGACGCGGCAGCGACCCCAGCGCTGGCGTTCAAGGTTGAACGCCGCCACTTGGATCACCGCAGGGGTGCTCAGAGGTTAGGGGGGTCAAGGGTGGATGCTAAGGTGGGTTATGTCGGGCTTGACCTAGGTTGTGAGTGAGTTAGAAGTGCACCGAGCGGATTGGGGGAGAGATAATTCTGCTAAGTGGGCAGAGCTCAATTAGCCTGGGTCAGTAACACCCCTAAAACAAAATTGTGACACTTGTACCGTTTGTAGGCTAGATTAGGCCAGATATCGCCCAAATGGGGATCCATGGATAACCCCCTATCCCCTTCGCAACGAGCCGGCGTTCAACGTCGACCGCCGCCAGTGGCCTGGGATCGGCCTGTATGGAGCGAGTTGTTCAATCGGAGAGCTCGATCATGCAAGGCTGAGCGATCCACGCGGTGTCAGAAACCAGCTCCAGCCCCGGGCCCCGGGACGCGTCGATTTAGCACGCACCGACTAGCGTCGGCCTGCGTCGATTCTCAAGAGCCAGCAAGATGGCACGAGAAGCTCCCATGAGTGTCGGCGGCGATCGAGGAGGGAGAGTGAGAAGGAGAAGGCCTCCTCAGAAGGCGCCGGGGCTTCTCAGGAGCCCTCCGGCTTTCTGAGATGTGTTCTGCGTCTCCAGGGAGGGTGTACAGTCGGGGCCCTGAAGAAGGAACCCTTCGATAGGAGATCGAAGGTTAGCTTATGGAAAAAAGGGGCCTCGTTCCTTATTTGGGGTTCCTTAGGTCAACGCCGCGACTGTAGGAAATTTCTCAGAAGGCCCGAGGCCTTCCGGGGCCTGGCCACCGTACGCGAGGCAGTGCACCGCCGGGGGCCTCCGGAGCAGGGGCCTCCGGGGGGCCCGGCGGGCCTCGCCGGGGCGGGTCGCCCAGCCACCCGCAGAGGCGCGGAGACGGCCGCGCGTCGCGCGCTGGGCCCGTGAGCGCGATAGGGGTAGGGAATCAAGCAGTGGCGAAGCGTCCTGGCTCGCCTATAGCCCGCCTACCAGACAGTGTTCTAAGAACCTTTCTGTGGTGTCCACGAAGTGTTCTTAGAGCATGTCTGGCGGAGTCTGTCTCGTTTGGACACACAGAGTTAATGTTCTAAGAGCATTGCTTTTGTTATTAGAACATGTTTGGGTTCTAAGAACATTTCGTGGTAGGACTGTAGGAATGCTGGAACGGTCGGTCCCTGCTCAAGGGAAGGCACAGGGGGGGACGCGTCGACATACAGTCGGCCTTGATTCGTAGTCGGTCGGCCCTGCCAGCTCTCAAGGGTACCCTTGCGTCCTGGCGCCTCGCGACCCATGCCTCCTTACATTCCCCTGGCGATGTGGCCCTCGGCAGGGTCCTGTGTCCTCTCGCGCGCCCTGTCCGATCAAGTCCGAGTGCAGCGGGGGATCGTCCCGGGGTCCCGGGGCAGGCGGGCCAACAGGGCTCCGGGCCAGGGGCAACGTCCGGGGGGGAAGTTGGCCGCGCGTCGCGCCCTCGGGCTGACGGCGAGAGTTGCCAGGAGGAGGAGGAGGAGGAGGAGGAGGAGGAGGAGGAGGAGAAGGAGGAGGAGGAGGAGGAGTTGGAGGGGGAGGGAGGAGGAGGAGGAGGAGGAGGGGAGGAGAGAGGGAGGGAGGAGGAGGAGGAGGAGGAGGAGGAGGAGGAGGAGGAGGAGAGGAGGAGGAGGAGGAGGAGGAGGAGGAGGAGGAGGAGGAGGAGGGGGAGGGGGAGGAGGGAGGAGGGAGGAGGAGGAGGAGGAGGAGGAGGAGGAGGAGGAGGAGGAGGAGGAGCAGGAGGAGGAGGCCTGCGGCGGCCTGCGGCAGCGGCGGCGGGGGTCTCTCCGCGAGGCGGGCGCGGCAGGCGCCGGCGGCGGCGAGGGGGCGGCGGCCGCGGCGGCCGGGGGCCAGACGGCCGAGGAGCCGCCGGGGGGGAGCTGGGCGCGGAGAGGGCGGCGCGCTGACACGCAGGGGATGTGGGCCGGGCGCGTCTGCCTGCGGGCGGACGGAGAGGAGTATGCGCAGGCACCGATCTTGGCAAGGCCCGTCCTGGGCCCAGGATCGGTGCATAGGCTTCCCTGGCCAAGGCCGGAGGGCGTATAGGCACCCAGCCCGGGCGCGAGGCGCCGGGGAGGCGGGGCGCGGAGAGGGCGGCTCGTTGACTCACGCACGGGGTGTGGGCCCTGGCACGTCTCCCTGCGGGCGGGTTCTGGGATTCCCTTCGGGGATCATCCGTTAGAATTGGAGCGACGCAGAGAAGATTAGCACGGCCCCTGCGCAAGGATGACACGCACAAATCGAGAAGTGTATACATCTAAACCAAAAAATCCTACGGGCGGGCTTTGGGGGGAGAGGAGCCAAAAAGAAGGCGAAGGATAGACACAAGAGCACGGCAAGTCGTGTCCAGACGACTTCCCCGTGCAGGCGGGCATGCCCGACGCAACACCGGATCGAGCAGGGGACGAGGTTGGCAGCCGCTGTGTTATTCATGGTATCGCCGAGCGGCGCGGGCTCCTCCCCACCCCCCACCCCCCACTCCAAAGACCAATCGAATGCTCCACACGCACTGAATTCGTCAGGAGGGGAAAAAACACACAGACACAATTAATCGTCGATTCCCAGGAAAATCTAAGAAAATATGGGAAGTGGGGGGGAAGACAGAAACCCAGAAAATATATGAAAATATAGGGCATCCTTTTATTTGTGTGTATTTATTTGTGTGTCCCAGGGCCCCTTCAATTCGACACGAACGAAATGGGTACGGGAAGAGCGGGTACGATGCACAGCACTGAGTGCTCATTTTGAACAGGACTCGATGTCCGCGCCGCCGCGGACGTTCTCGATTTGAGGCAGAAGGCCGCCTGCCCAACAGTGGCCGCTGTCGGTTTTGGACAACAGTTGTTGCTCGGCATCGTACCCACTTTTTCCGTACCTATTTCGGGCGTATCAGTACATATATTGGATCGAGCAAGAAACGAGGTTGAGAGGATGATCGAGCATCGGGGGGATCAAGGATCGGAGGGGGATCACCGATGGGAGGAGGATCGATGGAGATGATAGGAGAGGGGATAGGGGTTTGGATGAGGATGGGGTATCGATTGAGGTTGGAATGAGGAACGAAGGTGGGAAGGGTGTCGAAGATAGGAGGACGCTCGAGGATGGGAGGAGGAGGAGGATGAGGAGGAGGAGGGAGAGGGCAAGGGAAAAGAAGAGGCTTAAAGGGTGGTGGTAGTGGAAGTGGCAGAGCTGGAGGACGAGGGAGGAGCACGCCTAGCTCGAGGCAGCATGCGTGCTGTGCCCCCGCCCTCGGACTCCAGTCGCGGCCCGCAGGAGCTGGAGAGGATCCGCGTGCGGTGCTGGGCGTGCACGTGTCTCATACAGCTACCGAGCGAGTCCGTGCCCGAAGGCGTCCTCCTCCCGCGGGAGCGGCGGGGGGGGGACGCGCGGGGGAAGGGGCGAACGGCCCAAGGGTGAGGGGGGGGCATGTCGAGGGGATGGCCCGAGGTTGGCCGGGGGGGGGGGATGCCCTCAGTCTAGGCTTAAGTCGAGCCAGTCCCCCTCTACAGGGGGAATATTCAAACATAGTCAGAAAATAGTCGGGAGACTGTTTTGGGGTATTTTTGACAATTTTGGAGTATGTCTTGACTGTTTTAAATTTTTCGTCGTAAATCCCCCTGTAGGGGGACAGGCCCGACTTAAGTCTAGGCCTCCCAGATGGGGCATGAGTAGGTGGTTTCGGAGGATCGCGACGCGTCGCCGATGCATCGGCGATGCGGCTCGATGTGGAGCCCGATTTTCTCCGCGCTGGCGTCGCCGATGCACCGCCGGCGTCGCCGATGCATCGCCGATGCATCGGCGATGCATCGGCGATGCATCGGCGATGTGGCGCAATCCCCCGACCCCCTTTTCTCGGACCCTGTCTAGGAGGCCTCATGCTTGGTTGCCGAGCAGCCCTGCATGTGCGGCGCGGTGCCGCCGGCGCCAGGGCGGCACCGCTGCGCTCTCGGGCACGGCCGGCATCCGGGACACCTGGTCGGTCGCAGTGTTACTGCGTGGCTTCAGACCAGCGTGGGGGACACCGTGGGCCAGGTCACCCGCGAGCGCGCATGCTCGCGGGCTGGGCCGGAGAGTTGCTCGCATCAGAGGGGGGGCCAGCGCCAGGGCGCGAAGATAAGAGCGCGCTCCGCGCGGCGCGCAGCGCAGAGTCGGGCGGTCTGGAAGAAGGGCGAGCCAATGCAGTTTGGCCCCTTCTGCCGCTGCAAGATACTCAGCGTTTCAAGCAGTCTGGGAGTCTGGGCAGTGTCGTCACGTGCAAGTGGTGCCTCGCATGGGGCGCAGATCAGGACGAAACGAAACCCGTTGATCAGCCGTGCCGTTGGTGCGAGAGCGTTGAGTGGACAAAGGGTAGCGCCGCGTAGTCCAGGTGGCTCCCTGAGGATGCCAGGAGAGCAGCCGCATGGGCTGAATGAGGTCTCCCTCTCTCTCACACGCCTCGGGCTTGTACGTCAACCTGGCGTTGAGCACGGGCTCTTCGAACATCACATCTCCTGCTTTCTCGATGGCGTCAGGCACCACGCCATTGTTAATGACGGTCGCAGCGCTGCTCTCGGCTGGATGCATCGGCGTCGCCGCCACGCTTGGGACGTCCATGGTCACCCCCTCGGCCGCATCGACAGGACTGCACCTTGCCTGTAGGACAGGAGTGGGCCGCGCCCTTGTCTCAAGGCGGCGCGGCGTGATGGTGCAACAGCATGGCAGGGCAGTTTTGTTCTCCGTACCTCGTCAGCATCCGCACCTCCGCGGTGCTGGGCTGCGCGGGGTCCAGTTGCGCGGGGGGTGGAAGGCGTCCAGGTCTGGTCTGCAGACTGTCGTCGCGTTGGTGGCAGTGAATGCGGGGCGGCCCCAGGGGCGCCTTCCCCCATCATGGTAGAGCAGCACGCGTCACGCAGCAGTTTCCACGTACAAACGTACATATAGACTTCTACCGATTTACATACATATATATATCTATATGTATATTTGAATGTATGATATGTGTATGTCACGCTCTCTGTCTCTCTCTCTCTCTCTTTCTCTTGTTTTCTCTCGCTCTCTCTCTCTATAAATATATATATATATGTATGTGCTACTCTGGTCTCTCTCTCTCTCTCCCTCTCTCTCTCTCTCTCGTTCTCTTCCCCCCGCCCAACCAGACACTCTGTTCCTCCCTCTCTTCCTCATCCGTATCATGTGCGCCCTTATGTATCATATGTTTTCTCTTCCTCCTCGTCATCCTCTGGATTACCGCTTGCGCTTCTTGACACATTCCCTACATGTCGTTCCATGTCTTACGCAATGCCCCTCATCTTACGCCTTTTTCGCAACGCCACCGCTTTCTATGGTTTCGCCCCGTAGCGGCCTGTCTCCCCTGAGTTTGCGCAAATGGATTGCTTGTGCGGCGCAGCGGCAGATGTTGGGGCGGCAGCGCGGTGCAACGAGGGGAATGAGGAGGAGTAGGAGTAGGTCGGGTCTGTCCCCCTATAGGGGTAGTTTGGACGAAAAATTAGAAATATTCAAAAAATGCCCCAAAGATCCCAAAACAATTTCCAAAAGTAGTCCCCTGACTATTTTTTGGTCATTTTTGAATTTCCCCCTGTAGAGGGACAGGCCCGACTTAAGAGTAGGAGCAGGAGTCAAGATAGCCGGGTCGAACGAGGCAGCGGGCCCCGTCCATCCCCACCCCCCATCCCACAGCATATGCGAACCAGCGGGCGGCGCAGCTTGCGGCTGGGACTGGAACGCGCTCCCGCCTGGCGAACGGAGGGCGCTCCTTCGCGCCCCCCGCTCCCGACGACCCTGGCGAACCTCCTCCTCCTCCTCCGCCTCCTCCGCCTCCTCCGCCTCTTCCTCCTCCTCCTCCGCCTCCGCCTCCTCCGCCTCCGCCTCCTCTTCCTCCGCCTCCGCCTCCTCCTCCTCTTCCGCCTCCGCCTCCTCTTCCTCCGCCTCCTCCTCCTCCGCCTCCTCCGCCTCCTCCTCTTCCTCCTCCGCCTCCTCTTCCTCCTCCGCCTCCTCCTCCTCCTCCGCCGCCTCCTCCTCCTCGGGAAGAGCAGCTCGCGCCGCGCACGGGCGGGAGCGGCATCCCGGAGAGCCCGCGCGCGGCGCCGCGGCGGGAGCACCGCTCGCGCCTCCTCCCCGAGCAGCCGGGGACACCCGCGGAGCCGCGGCGGAGGCGAGAGGCGCTCCCCACGCGCTGCGCCGAGGCCGCACTCGCCGCGCCGTCGCGCCACTAAAACGACGCGAAGATCGGGACAAAATCGGATCGGGATAACTCGAAATCTCTGAGAATCGGCGGATTTGGAGGATATATTGGGCGCCGCGGCCGCTCCAGAGCGTTCCGGAACGCTCTGAGAGCGCTCCGGAACGCTCTGGAGCGATTTATCCCGATCCTAGCCCTGGTTTACATGGCAGGCGAGGCACGGCACAGAGGTCGCCCGCTCGCGCGCGGCCCCGGCCCCGCGAGCCGGCGGGCCGGCGGGTGGCTCGCCGGAGCGCGCCCTTCGCCGAGGCGGGAGCGCGCCAGCCTCGGGCGAAGGCTGCTCGACACGCCGCGGCAGGGCAGCGGCGCGAGAGCGGGCGGCGTGGCGTCCTCTCGCTGTGGAGGCGCGCGCAGAGCTCGCCCCCGGAGGGGGTTTGCGCTCCCGCGCGGGAGCGCGGCACACGCCTCGCCCGCCCACTCGCGCAGCGGGGCCGTGCGGGAGAGAGTGTCTTGGCATCGCTCGGACGTGTGCGTTTTTCCCTCGGCGAGGACCATCGAGGAGCATCCTTGACCACTGGGCGGAAAAAACACGCACGAAACCGAAAAAAAACACAGGGAATGGACGTCCAGGCGATGGCGAGATTCGTCGGGCGAAGAAGGTGTGCCGCGCTCAAGCGGGAGCTCAAGCCTCACGGATCACGAGCGCGGCGCCGAGGCGCGGCATCTCGCCCTTTCGCATAGGATGTGCGCCCTGTCCCATTTCCGGCCACGCAATTTGCAACGTCGATGCCAAGTCGTCAATATTGATGGCATCAACGAAAGTGTTGTAGTGTTCCTTTCGTGTAGGATGTGTCGTACCGGATGGAACCCTTCTCGGCGGGCCAGGTAGCAAAGTGGGAATTTGCTTTGTTAGGAATGCGGACTGGAGGAGGAAGAGCAGAGGGCACAGGCACAGGAGGGTGACTCGCAGGGAGAGGGGGAGAATGAGGAGGAGCATCTCGAGGAGGAGGAGGAGGAGAAGGAGGGGCAGACAGAGCAGGAGCCAGAGCAGGAGCAGGAGGAGCAGGAGGGAGGAGCAGGAGCGGCACCGGGAGCAAGAGCTCGGAGAGGAGGAGGACGACGACGGGGCGGATGAGCGGCATCGGAGGACGCGGGCAGGAGGAGAAGCAGCGCGTGCGTCTCGGCGGGCCCGCGAGGCAAGACGGCGGGGGAGATCTACTTCACCTGCGGAGGGTGCGGGGCGAGCCGCCGCTCTCGCGCGCGGCGCTCTCGCTTCGCGGGCTGCTCTCCGCCGGTTCCGACGAAGCTCTTTGGCAGCAGAGCGGTCTCGGTCTCGCTTACTGCCACTGTCTTCGCGTCTCGGGCTGCACTGCCCACTTGAAAGTGTAGACATCCAAAAGTGTGTACACACAATGGCCTTCGGCCCACACCTCCACCGCGCCTGCGCTGCGATTCAGAGCTCTGGGAGCAGGCGAGAGTGGCGGTTGGCGTTCGTGCTCCAGGAGTGCGGCTGGAAGTAACAGGGCTCAGTGTGTTCAGGCAGGACGACGACGACGAAGGCGAAGACTACGACGAGGACGCTTGCCGTGCCAGGGTTCTAGGCCAGAGGCCTCTTGGTTGCATTGGGGTCTCTTGGGATGCCTCTCGGGTGGATCTGGGACTGCTCTTGCCGGTTTCTGGGGGGGACCGCTTGGGGCCTTTTCGGGGCATCTTGGGGGCTTCACAGGGCCTTTGGGAGACCTCTTGGGGGCCTCTTCGGGCCCTCTTTCGCAATCTTGGGAGCCTCCTTGGCCGTCTTGTGCCTTCTTGGAGCTGTCTTGGGGGTATCCTGAGCCGATTTGTACCAGTCTTGGAGGCCTCTTGGGCCGTCGCCGGCGCAGATGCCAAAAATGCACGTTTTCCAAAGGGTCCCCAAGCCCCAAGGCGCCTCACCCCAGACGGCCCCAGGGGGCCCCAAGACGGCCCAGGGGGGCTCCTAGAGGCTCCCAAGAGAGTCCAAGCGGCTCCCAAGAGGGCCCTAAGAGGCCCCAAGGAAAGACCTAGGACAGCCAAAGCTCTCCGAGACGGCCCAAAAGGGCCCCACGACAGCCCAAGAGGGCCCCAAGAGGGTCCAACAGGGCCCCCAAAGGATCCCCAAGTGGCTCCCCAGAGCGAGCGGTAACGTACACAAGCTCTCAACATCAGGGCTTCCAAGAGCAAGTGGTGGCGTAAAAAGGTCTGAACACCAAGACCCCCAAGAGCCCATAGTGACGTGACAAGTGCCAAGCTCTTAACAGCAAGACTCCCAAGAGCGAACAGTGACCTTACAAGCTCTTAACACCCAGGCTCCCAAGAGCGAGCAGTGACATAAAAAGGTCTGAACTCCCAAGAGCCCATGGGTACGTGACGAGCTCTTAACCCCAATGCACCGACGAGCGAACGGTGACACAAAAGCTCTGAACACCAAGGCTCCCAAGAGCTCACAGTGACGTACTCGACAAGCTCTAAACACCAAGGCTCCCGAGAGTGAGCAGTACCGTAAACAGCCCCTGACACCAAGGCTCCCAACAGCGAGCGGTGGCGCAACGGACTCTGAACACCACGGCTCCCACGAGCAAACGGTGCCATGAGCCATTTCGGGCAAGTTCTTGAAGCGCTCTCTCCGTTCCCGTGCAGGCCCAGGTGACGGAAAGAGCGAGGCACGAGCGATGACATTTTGGTGGGGCGAAGCCCTCTAGGGGAGGGGGGGTCCTGGGGAGGGGCGAGGAGGCGGCACCCTGGCGTAACACGCGCCCCCCCCCCACCAAAGACGACCCCAGAGGCGCCCAGGACGGCCCAAGGAGCGCCCAAGACGGCCCAAACCCAAGATGCCCCCGAGAGGGGTCCCAGAGGGCTCCAAGACGGCCCAAGCGCGGTCCAAGAGAGCACAAGACCGCCCAAGAGGGCCCTCAGACGGCCCCAGAGGCCCTCAAGAGGAACCCCGAGAGGGCCTCAACATGCCAAACACAGTGATTTTCTTGAGGCGTTTGAAAGTTTTTATGGTTGTCGCCTTGTCTAGCCAAGAACGGCCCAAGACGGCCCAAGAGGCCACAAACATCGTCCCAAAACTGCCCCAGGGGCCCCCAAGAGGGCCCCAAGACCAAGAGGGCCCCAAGACGGCTCACGAGAGTCGCAAGACGGCCCAGGAGAGCCTTTAGAGGCTCCCAAGAAAGCCGAGGTTCCCAAGAGGGCCCCCAAGACGGCCCCAAGACGACCAATAACGCCCCAAGACGGCCCAGAAGGGCCCCAAGACGGCCCAAGAGGGCCCCAAGGCGTCCCTAGAGAACCCCAAAAGGACCCCCACGAAGGCTCGGAGACGCCGAATCAAAGGGGCCCCGAAGAGCTCGCAGTGACGTAAAAAGCTCTGAGCACCAAGCCTCCCATTAGCGAGCGGTGACGTAAAAAGCTCTTAACATCAAGGTTCCCAAGAGCGAGCGGTGGCATAAACAACTCGTAACACCAAGGCTCCCAAGAGCGAGAGGTAAGGTAACAAGCTCTTCAAAACAAGGCTCCCAACAAAGAGCGGTGTGATGCAACAAGTTCTTGACGCCAAGGCTCTCCAGAGCTAACAGAGACGTGACAAGCTCTTAACACCAAGGCTCCCAAAGGCGAGCGGTAACGTGAGAAAGCTCTTAACATCATGGTTCCCACGAGCGAACGGTGCCATGAGCCATCCTGGGCAAGTTCCTGAAGCGCTCTTTCCGTCCCCGTGCCGGCCCAGGTAACGAAAGAGCGAGGTACGAGGGATGACGTTCAGGTGGGGCGAAACCCTCTAGGGAGGAGTGCAGAGGAGGGGGGTAGGGTGCCCAACCGGGCGCTAACACACGCGCTCCCCCCCAGGGCGGCCCCAGGGGCGCCCAAGACGGCCCCCCCCAGGCATTCCTCAGACGGCGCAAGGACCCCCCAAGAGGGGTCCAGGAGGACACCAAGAGGGCCCGGGAGCGCTCCGATAGAGAGCCCACGACCGCCGAAGGGCGTTCCAAGATGGCCTCGAGACGGTCCAGGAGGGCCCCGAGACGTCCCACCAGGCCTGCAAGAGGCTTCCCAAGAGGGCCCAAAGAGGCAAACGTCATTGATTCATCCCAGGTGTTGGGTTTTTTGTTTCGGGCCCTCGCACTTTCGGATCCAGAACAGCCCCAAACTGCCCAAGAGGCTCCAAAGATCGTCCCAAGACGGCCCAAGAGGCCCCCCAAAGAGTCCGAAAACGGTCCAAGAGGGCTCCAAGGCGGCCCAAGCGGGCCCCCAAACGGCCCAAGACGGCCTTAAGAGGGTCCCAAGAGGACCCAAAGATGCTCCCAAGAGGGCCCCAAGAGGGTCGCAAGACGGCCAAAGGCTTCCAAGACGGCCCAAAAGGGCCCAAAGACGGCCCAAGAGGGTCCCTAAACGGCCCAAAGAGGCCCCACAAAGACCTTCAAGAAGTCCCAGAGACGCCAGTAACATCATGGTTCCCAAAAGCGAGCGGTGGCGTAGCAAGCTCTTAACACCAAGGCTCCCCAGAGCGCGGTGACCTAAAATGCTCTTAATAGCAAGGTTCCCGAGAGCGAGCGGCAACGTAAAAGTCTCCGAACACCAGGGCTCCCAACAGAGCGCGGTGACGTAAGAAAGCTCTTAACACCAGGATTCCCACGAGCGAACGGTGCCATGAGCCATCTCGGGAAGGTTCCCGAAGCGCTCTTTCCGTTCCCGTGCCTGCCGCTTGCCCAGGTCTGGCACGCGCACTGCGCACGCACCCGCATCAAATCACATCACGCGGGCCACACGCGAGCGCCACCACGCGCGCTTGTCGAGTTCCGTCGAAGACCATGGGCATTCGACGCATTTCAAGACAGAGCTCTTCAAACACAGACTCAAAAGTTTGTTGGGCAACAACAAGTGTGTCTGATGTATCGAATTTCTGAGTGCGCGCACTTTCTCACCATGACCCGCATCAGCGCAATCGAATCACCGCCACGGTCGTCATCGCCTATCACCGCCATTGCCGCCATCATCAGCCAATCACCTTCATCACCCACACATGCATATCGTCAACGTCATCGTCGTCACCAGCATCGGCGCCGTCACTGGCCTTGCCGCCGTCATCGTCATCATGACCACCATCACAGCTACTGGCATCATCGTGCTCGCCGTTGCCGACGTCATCATGACATCGCGCCCGCCCGAGTCACCGACCCGCACTGGAGCGCCCGTGCGCCAGCGTGGCTTCTGAGACGCGTTAAGAAGTTGCCATCCAAACCAGCTGTTCGGATGCCACTCCTGGGAGGTCAAATTCTGCTTTTGCCCTGGTGCGAAATCCGGCTTAATCCCGCTTAATCCCGTTTAATCCGGCTTGATCCGCCTTAATCCCGCTTAGTACCGCTTAATCCCGCTTAACCCGAGGCCCACTCCGGCGTAACAGCCCCCCCATGGGGCTTAATATGTTTTAACCTTTCCGGCGAAAACCTCCCAGTAGTTGCCATCCAAACCAGTTGGCCGCTCTGCGCGCGAGCTTGCGCGCCCCAGTGCGGCCGCAGGGGTGCGCCCGCCAGCGCCAAACAGTCACCGCAAGCACGGCCGCATGGGTTGTGCAGAACCAATTGCGGTTGGGAGGGCGGGATGAATGCGCGAGCAGTTCCGTTGACGACTCACGAGCTGGCAACCAAAAGTACTCACGCCACACAGCTTACACAGCAAAGGTTGCACTGACGAGCTTGCAACACATAGCTTGCACCCAACTGCTTTCGTGCCCAGCCCACACCGCCTAGCTTACACCACATAAGTAACACAACAGTCTGCACGAATGTGCACCTCGTCAGTTCACACCGCTTAACTTGCACGACAGCGTTCACCACACAGGTTGGTTTCGCCGCACGGCTTTCACATACACACTGCAATCGTGATTGTTTGGGGTTTTCGATGGCTAGCAAATGATATGTAGATATAGGTGTAGGTACACATATTGTCGAGCTGTCTCTCTCTCTCTTTCTCTCTCTCTCTCTCTCTATCTCTTTCTCTCTCTCTCTCTCTCTTTCTCTCTCTCTCTCTCTCTCTCTCTCTCTTTATCTCTCTGTATCTCTTTCTCGCTCTCTCTCTCTCTCGCTCTATCGCTCTCTCTCTCTCTCTCTCTTTCTCCCTCTCTCTCTCTCCACCCCCCGTCTTCTCTCACACCCGTTCATCTACTTTTTACCTAACATCGAAGACTGATAGGTTTCTAGTAGTGTCAAAAGAGAGCAGCACATTACTCCACAGGGGGGTCTGGGCAGCCGTTGGGGACCGTTGGGGGGCCGTTGGGGTTTGCCGGGGGGGATCGTTTTTCGCATACAGTCACACACTTCGTGCTCTTCGACCTCCCAGAACTCCATTCCCGGGCCACATTCTGAATGCCCGGAGCCAACTGTAGGCCACTTCGTGCTCTTCGACTTCCCAGAACTCCATTCCCGGGCCACATTTTGAATGCCCGGAGCCAACTGTAGGCCACTTCGTGCTCTTCGACTTCCCAGAACTCCATTCCCGGGCCACATTTTGGATGCCCGGAGCCAACTGTAGGCCACTTCGTGCTCTTCGAGTTCCCAGAACTCCATTCCCGGGCCACATTTTGAATGCCCGAGCCAACTGTAGGCCACTTCGTGATCTTCGAGTTCCCAGAACTCCATTCCTGGGCATGATTTTGAATGCCCGGAGCCAACTGTAGGCCACTTCGTGTTCTTCGAGTTCCCAGAATTCAATTCCCGGGCCACATTTTGAATGCTGAGGCAGGCTGAGGCTGAGGCTGAGGCAGGCTGAGGCTGAGGCAGGCTGAGGCTGAGGCCGAGGCTGAAGGCAGACTGAGGCTGAGGCTGAAGCAGGCTGAGGCTGAGGCAGAGGCAGGCTGAGGCTGAGGCAGGCTGAGGCTGAGGCAGGCTGAGGCTGAGGCTGAGGCTGATGCAGGCTGAGGCTGAGGCAGGCTGAGGCTGAGGCTGAGGCCAAGGCTCAAGGCAGACTGAGGCTTTGGCTGAAGCAGGCTGAGGCTGAGGCTGAGGCTGAGGCTGAGGCTGAGGCTGAGGCTGAGGCTGAGGCTGAGGCAGGCTGAGGCTGAGGCAGGCTGAGGCTGAGGCTGAGGCTGATGCAGGCTGAGGCTGAGGCAGGCTGAGGCTGAGGCCGAGGCTGAAGGCAGACTGAGGCTGAGGCTGAAGCAGGCTGAGGCTGAGGGCTGAGGCTGAGGCTGAGGCTGAGGCAGGCTGATGCTGAGGCAGGCTGAGGCTGAGGCTGAGGCTGATGCAGGCTGAGGCTGAGGCAGGCTGAGGCTGAGGCCGAGGCTGAAGGCAGACTGAGGCTGAGGCTGAAGCAGGCTGAGGCTGAGGCTGAGGCAGGCTGAGGCTGAGGCTGAGGCAGGCTGATGCTGAGGCAGGCTGAGGCTGAGGCTGAGGCTGATGCAGGCTGAGGCTGAGGCAGGCTGAGGCTGAGGCCGAGGCTGAAGGCAGACTGAGGCTGAGGCTGAAGGCTGAGGCTGAGGCTGAGGCTGAGGCTGAGGCTGAGGCTGAGGCTGAGGGCTGAGGAGGCAGGCTGAGGCTGAGGCTGAGGCTGCTGAGGCTGAGGCTGAGGCTGGGCTGAGGCTGAGGCAGGCGGAGGCTGAGGCCGAGGCTGAAGGCAGACTGAGGCTGAGGCTGAAGCAGGCTGAGGCTGAGGCTGAGGCTGAGGCTGAGGCTGAGGCTGAGGCTGAGGCTGAGGCTGAGGCTGAGGCTGAGGCTGAGGCTGAGGCTGAGGCTGAGGCTGAGGCTGAGGCTGAGGCTGAGGCCTGAGGCTGAGGCAGACTGAGGCTGAGGCTGAAGCAGGCTGAGGCTGAGGCTGAGGCAGGCTGAGGCTGAGGCTGAGGCTGAGGCTGATGCTGAGGCAGGCTGAGGCTGAGGCTGAGGCTGATGCAGGCTGAGGCTGAGGCAGGCTGAGGCTGAGGCCGAGGCTGACTGGCAGACTGAGGCTGAGGCTGAGGCAGGCTGAGGCTGAGGCAGAGGCTGAGGCTGAGGCTGAGGCTGAGGCTGAGGCTGAGGCTGGCTGAGGCTGAGGCAGGCTGAGGCTGCCTGCTGTGACTGTCTGAACTGAGGCTGAGGCTGCTGACTGACTGACTGCGACTGTCATCGCGAATGCGACTACGACTGCGAGAACAGCAGAATTCTACAACTGGATTCTCATCCGAATCTTAAGGGGAATGCTTCCAGATATGCTCCTACACATCGATGTTAGGTTGCTTTGCTGGGATAATTATCTCTCTGTCTCTCTCTTTCTGTCGTGTATTGTTTATGTCGACAGACATGTGTATACATGTTTATATATATACCTATACGACCACCCTGCGGGTGATAAAAGGAGGTTGGGGGGGAGGGGGGCCAGCAATGGGCAACAGTGGTGATTGTTGCGTTGCCGCTCGCTCTTGGGAGCCTTGATGTCGAGTTGTTTACATCATCCTTCGCTTTTGGGGGCCTTGGTATCATTCTCCCCCCCCCCCAGGGAACCAACGAAATAATATTCTATGTATTTAATTTTGCAAGGGCTTGGGGGGCCGTTTGAGCGCGTCTTTTGGACCTCTTGGGGGTCTTGGAGGCCTCTTGGGGGGCTCTTGGGGGCCTCTTGGGTGCCTCTTGGGAGCCTTTCGGGGATGGCGCACGCTTGCTGCTTTTCCGGCACCGCGCGGTCGAGCATCGGAACGTAGGGCGGAAATCCCTGGATGGTAAGAGAGTTGAGGGGGGGAGGACCCAACGTCTCATTCAATCGATCTCACAATGGACCCCATTATCGCTTTCACAATCGATCTCACTCGATCGATCACACTATCGATCTCACTCGATCGATCTCAGTGTCGATCTCACTATCGATCCCATTCAATCGATCTCTCTATCGATCTCACAAAAAATGTCGTTATCGGTCTCACGATCGATCTCACCATCGATCTCAGTATCGATCTCTCTTCGATCTCACCAGCGATGTCGTTATCGGTCTCACGATCGATGGGACCATCGATCCCACTATCGATCTCACTCGATCGATCTCACTACCGATCTCACTCGATCGATTTCACTGTAGATCTCACTCTGGATCTCGCTATCGGTCCCATTAACGATCTCCCTATCGATATCACTCGATCTCACAATCGATATCATTATTCATCTCACTATCGATCTCACTATCGATCTCACGATCGATCTCACTATCAGTCTCGCTATCGATTTCACGATCGAACCCACAATCGATTTCGTCATCGGTCTCACTATCGTTTTCGCACCAGCGGCGCACCGGGACACCGGCGGCACACTGGCGGGACACCGCGCGCCAACCCTTGCTGGAGGGAGAATCATTTGGTCCGGCCGGGGCCCAGCCACAAGCGGGACACCGGCGGGACACCGCGCGCCACCGCTTGCCAGAGGGAGAATCATTTGGTCCGGCCGCGCCTCAGCCACAGGAGATTTTCCTTTCGCCCGCCCACGCAGCTTCGCCTCGCCCGCACGCACGGCACGCACGAACACGAAACCGAAGCCGATTTCCTGGGGTGGGGGCTCTCCTTTCCACTTCGATCTCACCCCCCAACCTCCGATACATATGTACGTCTATGCCTGCGTGTATGACGGTGTACCCGTGTCCCGTCATGTAGAAAAACGATGACGACATGTGTACATGTATTGTCAAGTGCGTACGAGGTGACAATACATATGTGCATGCACACATACATATATATATACACGTATATATATATATATGTATACAAATCTATATATACATATATACATATATATATATATCCACCCATGTATATGTGTATGGATAGATACATAACTCATTCACTCACAACACCAACGGCCAAAGTTCCAGAAATCAGTACTGCGATGCAAGTCGCTGAGTACCTACACGGTGCTCGCCGATTGAGGCGTTTCGTTTTTGGCGCCGCACAGTACTTGGTTATGAACAGTGCGGTCCGGAGAGGCATTAACCCGCATATACATACATGTATATATATATACACATATTTGTGTACAGATATACATATATTACATTACACATATGATTCATCATATCGTTCGCGCTCTCTGTCGCTCCCTCTCTCTCTCTCTCGCATCTCTCCGCTTTCCACATCTTCGTACACACGCACTCAATCAACATCATACGTTAGTTTCGTGTTATGTCGATACAGTGCAGATTTCGTCTCAAACGAGCAGTAACAACTTATGCACATGACCCGCTGGCCCATCTACATGGACAAATCCAGCAAGAACGTCACTCACGCGGAAATCTGCACGACTTCTGTTGATGTTGATTATCGTCACGCACATCTATGTCAATGCTTGTTGGGCGAGTCGGAACTACACGCGACGTATTTCCAGGCAGTACGCCTGAAAAGGCGAAGCATATTATCAGAGCTGGTGCACATCCGCGTTGCGCATTTACTCCCCAGTCAGGAGGGCATGGAGGGTGGAAATTGTTGGAGCCAGTCTGTCCTCTAAGATTTGGCAAACGCCCCGACTCGAGTCCCTAATCGCTGGTATTGATCGCGGAGCAGTTGCAGGAGTTGGCCCTGCGCCCAGCATCGATCAGGGACGGTGGCAGAAGTCGTAAGCTTCTTACTTATGTCGTGGATTGTACCCGCACCTAGCTGCAAGCGAAGTCGCAGCCTGATAGTGTCCTCATTATCCTCCTACTCCACCCCTCGTCCCCCTGCCCACGCTGGCCGCCAGGCGAACAACCTCCCAGGCAGCGTGGCGATTCTCCAGCCGCCCGACCCGAAGTGGTGGCAAGTCCTGCTGAAGAAGGCTTCCGGCATCTGCCCAGCAGCCCCTTCGATCTAGAGCGCCGGGGCGGCGTTCGCTGTTGCGACAAATCTCTCTTCGTGCTCTCTCAACCTTGATGCGTTCCTATATTAGCAGATGCTTCTTCCGACCACGACGACGACGACGACGACGACGACGACGACGACGACGACAGGCACAGTCTCCAGTCCCCCTGCGCGGCTCCTTGTTAAACCTCCAGGGCTCCAGCAACGCCTCCGACTGCGGTGCCTCCCCCCCCACGTGCGGGAGTCCTGACCACCAGGACACCTCGGTCGAGGATGAGGAGGAGCATCAGCAGTACAGGGGAGACCTATGCCAAGAAACACCTTGCTTACCTCCAGTGTGCCCTGGGTTTCTTGGGTTTCGATGGTTTTGCCATGGACAGCGTGCCGTTCCCACACCAAAAATCAATGGACGTGCTGGGGTCTCAGGGTTGGGTGTCTTGTGGGAAGTTTCTCGTGGTCGGGCCCCCACTGTCGCGGGAGGATGAGGAGGAGCAGTAGCAGTACACCTTAGGCGATGCTTAAGAAAACTTAAGTTTTCGGCCAGAGTCTCGATTATTCTTAACGTTTCAGTGTAAATCCTACATTTGTAATAGAAATGTTGGGTTTTTATTCAAGTTCTGAGACTATGAATTTCTTAACCCATGATTTCTTAAGCATTTCGCAGGGTGTAGCAGGACGAGGGTGGGAGAGGAGCTGAAGAGAGGACGGCCAGCAGGAGCAGGGGAGGAGCAGAAGGGCCCTCCTCTTCCCGAGGCTCCCAGGGGCCCTGCAGGGCAACTAGGCTGGCCGCCATGGATCTTTCCCAGCCTCCCGCGGAGCGGAGCGACACGCGATCCGCTCGCAGGGCCGAGCGCGCCGCCGGGGCCGCCGCCGCGACACGTTGGGCAAAAACCCTTGGCCAGGCCAGGAGGGCATCTGCGCAGGTCCTAGGGCCCAGGGATGGGCCCGACCAGGTCTGGCGTCGTCGTGCGCAGCGCGCCCTTCGCCGCTGCGGCACCCTCCCGCCTGGGAGCCCGCGCCCAGGTTTCGCTTCCCCTGGGCGCCGCCCAGTCCTTGGCTGCGATGCGCGCCCCAGCCCTGCACTCGGCGTTCTGCCTCCGTGCCCTCCTCGCCGCCGCCCCTGGCCTTCGCCTGGCCTCTCGCGCCGCCCTGCCGCCGCCCGACGCCGGCACCTTCCCCGCGCCCCGTGCCGCCCGGCGCCCGCCCTGGCGGCCGCGCCTCGCCGCCGCCGGGCCGCAGCGCGCTGGTCCGCGCGCCCGGCCAGCAGCCGCGGCCGGCCTGCGCGGCCGCGTCTCGCCCGCCCCGCCCGGTCGGGCGGGCCCCCTCCCCGCTGCCCCGCAGTGCACGAGGGGAGGAAAAACACACACAGACACGATTGGTCGTCGATTCCCAAGAAGATATAGGAAAATATGGGAACTGGGGGGGGAAGACAAAAACCCCGAAAAGATGGGGAAATATGGGGAATCTGTTTTATCTGTGTGTATTTATTTGCGTGTCCCAGGGCCCCGTCAACAGTGCGGGGCCCGCCCCGCACTGCAGTGGCCGCCGGCCCCTGCCCCCCGGGGTGCGTTGGCGGAGCCGCCCCGCGGCCGCTGCCAGGGGCTGCCCCGCAGCCTGGCCGCCCCGCACGCCCCCTCGCGGCCCCGCCGCGCGAGTGCGCCCCCCCCCTCTCCCTGTCGCTGCGGCCGTCCCTCCTCCTCCTCCTCCTCCTCCTCCTCCTCCTCCTCCTCCTCCTCCTCCTCCTCCTCCTCCTCCTCCTCCTATTGGCTCCTATTGGCTCTGTAGCTGTCCGTTACCGCTGAGCGATAAGGCAGCCTAAAAAACAAGGAAGATCAGTCCTCGGCGAGCCCCAGGAAGGCCTCCAACTGGTTGAACCTCGGACGACGCCATGCAGGAAGACGGGCTCCTTTCGCCTCCATGGCCAGGTACTCGGCCTCGTCCCTCGTCATCAGCTGGCCCTTCTGGTTGCGCACGCCGTCGGCGGCCACATCCTCGCTGGAGTCTGACTCCGACTCCAGAGCGCCCGGCGACACTCCTGCGGGATAGGCAGCCCAGAAATTGAGCGAGCTCGCCGCGTCCACCCGAGCGCGGCGCCGCACGAAAGGACGGGTCGCTCGGCCAGGGCGCGCCTGGCCCCAGAGCCTCAGCTGCTTCTCCACGCCCTCGACAAAGTCCACGTCGCCCTGGATACCGACGTTGACCGTCCCGCTGGGATCAACACCTCCTGCACCGTCGGCCTGCCGCTCCGCCGTGTCAGCGACCACGGCGGCGGCGACAGCAGCGGCAGGGCAGCGATCCCCCGTAGGCCTCGCTGTGCCCACGGCCTCCTGCTCCTCGCAAAGATCGGGCGGCAGCTCCGTGTCCTCGGCCCCGAACGGCTGCGCCACCGCCAAGCCCGTCGCCTGCGCACCCTCTGCGCCCCCTCCGCGGGGGTATTGAGCGGGGGGCACGCCCGTGGCCGTCTCTGTGCGGCCTTCGCCGCCAGCGACAGCGGTCGCAGCAGGAACAAACTCCTTAGCATGTGGGCTGAGCGACTGCACCACCTGACCTCCAAGCCGCGGCCCATGCTGAGCCTTCCGAAGATCAGCTGCCGAAGCTGTTGCAAACTTGCTATTGGGAGCATATGCGTGTAATGTTACATTTCTGCGAAGAGTGTCCAACCAGCTTGGCCGTCGGCCCTGAAGAAGCTGCTCAATCGCAGGAAGAATACACAATATGCGATCCGCCAACAGCCCATCGCCAAACAACATCTCGAGTGCCTCGTCTGCTCGACGAAGTTGCTCACGAGTCCTGCCCAGCTCGCCCACCACGTTCCGTAGTGCCCTGTCTGATGACTCCTTTGCCCAGGCACGGTTGGCTTTGCGGTCCGCCGCCGAACGGCGAGGACAACCTGGGCGCGCATCCTCCGCGCCCTCCCGTAGCACCATTTCCACTTCAGAAGAAACTCCACTGCCAGAGAGCAAGGGGGGACATGGCCTAGCTCGCTTGAACAATGGGGGTTTCGCCCGCTGGTGGGCGGCATGAGCCAAAATGGCTTGAGCCAAAATGGCTACGGACCTCCTCCTCCTCCTCCTCCTCCTCCTCCTCCTCCTCCTCCTCCTCCTCCTCCTCCTCCTCCTCCCCCTCCTCGTCCTCCTCCTCCTCCTCCTCCTCCTCCTCCTCCTCCTCCTCCTCCTCCTCCTCCTCCTCCTCCTCCTCCTCCTCCTCCCTCCCCTCTCCCTGTCGCTGCGGCCGTCCCTCTTCCTCGTCTCGTTCTGTAGGTCGGGCCTGTCCCTCTACAGGAGGAGTGTTCAAAAAGGGTCAAAAATTTGTCTGGGGACGGCTGTTTGCCTATTTCTGCCCTTTTGGAAGGTATTTTTGGAGTGTTCTCTGTTTGTCGCTCAAAATCCTCCCGCACGGGGGGCACGCCCGACTTGACCCTCTCTCCTGCATGCGGGAGACGTCGCAGCGCCGCAGCCCGGGCTGCTCGGATGCGCGAGCGGATCGCCTCTCTGCCCCGCCACGGCGGAGAGAAGCGCAGCGCGCCCTGCGCCAGGCCGTCGGGAACTTCCTGTTCGTGTTCGTGCCCAGCCTCGTGGTCTACATCGGTGCAGGTCGCGGGCGTTTGCGGGCCGTGGCTGCTGCTGCTGCTGCTGCTGCTGCTGCTGCTGCTGCTGCTGCTGCTAGCCCTCGAGATGAGGAGGAGGAGGAGGAGGAGGAGGAGGAGGAGGAGGAGGAGGAGAAGGAGAAGGCGAAGGGGGAGGAGGAAGAGGAGGAGGAGGGGGAGGAGGAAGAGGAGGAGGAGGATTGCATGGATCACCGCCATCACACAGGTGATATGAACACACACACACACACACACGCACGCACGCACGCACACACACACACACACACACATACCTGCCCTGAGCGCCTGGACGAGAGCGAGCACCAGAGGGCGAGGCCACAGTGACGAGGCCGAGAAGGCGCCGAGTCGTTTGGCAGGCGGGCCCTGCTGGAAAGGGCGCAGGCCCAGGTCCTGTTGGGAGGGACACACACACACACACGTAATGAAACAAAGCGGGCAACCAGGACGAACAGAGAGACCCCTGGGAGCGAGGGGGTGGCCCTGGAGGGCCTCCTCGGGCCACCCCTGGGGCCCGCGGGGGAGGGCGAGGGGAGGAGGAGGAGGCGGAGGAGGAGGAGGAGGAGGAGGAGGCGGAGGAGGCGGAGGAGGAGGAGGAGGAACGGGCAAAACCGCCGCTTGGGGCCGTGGGACGCTCTGGGGGCCGCCTTTGGGGCCCTCCTGCGGCCCTCTCTCGGAGCCCCCGGAGGGCCTCTTGAGGCCATCCTGGTTCTGGAGGTCCTCGATCAAAGGAGAGGGGTCCTTGAATTTTCGTCGCCCCCCCAGGGCCATCAAAATCGCCTCTTGGGGTGCTCTTGGGCCGCTCTGGGGCGCCCTTAGGGACGTCTGGGGCCCGGGAGACATTTGGGGGCCCCTCTGGGGCCATCTTTTGGGGCCATCGTGAGCCCTCAAACGCACATCGGGAGCGACAAGGCGAGAAGGCAAGCATCATTGCTTGTATTAGGTGTTTCAAGGGTTTGGACTTCTTGGGAGGATCCGGAGGGGGCTCTGAGAACACTTGGAACCGTCTTGTGGCCCTCGCCGGGCTTCTCGGAGGTATGTCAGAAGATATCTTGAATCATCGTCGGCTATCTTGAGCCATCTTGGAGGCCATCTTGGAGCATCGTACGCCCTCTTGGAGCCATCTTGGATCGTCGAGGGCGCCCTGACACCTCGCCCCCACCCCCCAAACAAAATTGAAAATCTCAGGAAGGGGAGGGGTGTGGGTACCCCTTCCCAAAGGGAAGAGTGTTTCGGAAGAGGAAAGAACTCTTCGGACCACCTTAGCCCAAATTGCTGGTGGGACTCAAGGCACCGGCAGCTCGACGAGGGCCCACCAAAAGCTACGCACGTGCCATAGGCGAGCGCCTGCAATCGGAACTCCGCATCGCGACGTCCCAGGTGACGTCAACCCCTGTCGGTCGGCCTGCTCGAGGACCCGATGGACCTGGTCCAGCAGCGGAGTTGAATCCGTCTGCGGCTCGCAATGGGTATCGGAAACGATCCGTGGGCCCAAAGCGTCCTAACGCCTTGAGGTTCAGAACGACTCGGACAGGAGGGAAAGGAGGAGGAGGAGGACGAGGAGGAGGCGTCCCTATCCTCTTCCTCGTGCCCCTCCTTCTACTCCTGTTTCTGCCGCTCCTCGTCGTCATACTCATCGTGTTCCGTGCCCCCCTTTTTAGCATTCCACTCCTCGTCTGTCTCCGCATCGGTGGCATTCGGCCCATCCCGCCACCATGGTTGGGCTGTGCGCTCGGGGCACGGAGGGCACGAGATTCTCAGCCATATTCTTCGAGTGGTCTTGCACAATGATTGGGAGTGGTGCGGGTCCCTAGGATGCGGGCCTCTCCAGGGTTTCTGCGGGGGGGGGGGTCTCCTGATGGCTGCCTGGGGGTCACGTGGAGGCCTCGAGGGGGGGGGGGGGCATCTGGGGAGGCCTTGGGGAGGGGCGGAATCCCATTCCCCAACCATGCACCCTGGGACTTGTTCGCGGATCTCGTTCGGGGCTTTTCCAGGAATCGCTTGTGAGGCCTTTCTGGCCCCATGCTGGGGGGCCTCGGGCGATGCTGACAAGGCATCCGAAAGGCTTAATTGAATACTGTTGAGACCGAAAGGGCGAGATTAGCTAAATCCGTAAAATGGCGATTTGATAGATGTTCTTCATCATCTGCAGGTATTGAGCCAGCCCCCAAGACGGCCCAAGCGACCCACGAGAGGGCCTCCAGAGGGGACTTCGAGGGGCCACGTGAGGGCAAGCGTATGGCCTAAACTTTTAAAATACGGTTCCGAGGGCACAGGATAAGTCAGATGATGGTTGGCGGCTTCCAACGCTATATCGTCACCCCGTGGCCCTGCCAGCAAAATGCACTCACCTCCAACGGCATAAACCTGCCAACAGCAGATCCTCATCCCAGGCGACCTACAATTGCCAGCAACATATCGTCTTCCCGAGCACAAAATCATCAGCAGCATATCCTCATCCCGCGGCTTACATTGTAAACAAAATGGTTTGGACCCCGTGCCATTAATTTGACAGAAAAGAGATTCGCCCCCAGCGGCCCAAAATTGCCAGCAACGTGTCCTCACTCATTAGCTTGAACCTGCCAAGAGCCTATCCTCACCTCTCGGGTATTTAATCGGATAGCAGCACATCCTGATTCCGTGGCGTAAGCCTTCCAGCAACATGTCAGCACCTCGTGACCTAAAGTTGCCAGTAAAGTACATTATCCTTCCGAGGGCTATAGCACAACATCCTCACCCTAACGGCTTAAACGTGGCCAGCTAAACGTCCTCAACCCACGAGTCCAAAGCTTCTAGTAGCATGCCCCCGTCCCGTGGCCTAGAACAACCAGCAACAGAGCCTCACATCTTGGCATAACATTGCCAGCAACAATATCACACACACGGCTGCTTGGCTGGCATTGATCTCCTCACACCAGCGGCCTAAAACAACCAGCAACGTGTCCGCACCGCCTGGCTTCAAACGGCCGGCAACGTATCTTTGCATCCCGGGATTAGAATTGTCACCTGGAGGTTTGGATGATTCAGTGATGTGTTCACACTGCTGCTTATCAGTTCATGTCAGCCCATTTCGCGGAAATCGAGTCTTTGGCTGCGCCCGCCGAACACAGTGAGCAGGGTTCGCCAGGAAGGCTGCACCATCCCGGGACAACTCTTTCAACACCACACGCGTCGATTGACAAGAAGAGGATGTCACGGGGCGGGCGGCGGAACCGACCTCCCGCGCCTGCCTCCGCGTGGGCTCTCCAGGCCCGCCCCCGCGTGGGCACCTCCTGCCCGTGTGCCGCGCGGCCCTGCGACCGCCCTGCCCAAGACCGTGGCGCCAGGCCAAGGCCGCGGCCGCCCCCTGCGCGCGCGCCCTGCGCTCCCGAGGGGCCCACCGAGGGGCCCCCGCTTGGCCGCGGCGGCCCCGCCGGGACTCAGGGCGTGAATTACCTACCCCGCTCTCGCTTCCAGGCAAAACCAAGCCACACCCCGCGCCTCCTCGTCAAGCGGCCTGACCAGTACAGGCTGCAAGTTGGCATCGCTCGGCATCTCTTGGAAGCGAGGGTGGTCAAAAGCGAGGTGGGCTTGTTCTCCTCCTCGGGATGGCGGCCGCGCTGCGCCGCGGGGCGCTCCCGGCGGCGCTGGCGCTGGCGGCGCTGGGCGCCGCGGCGGCGCGGGGCGGCCCCGCGCCGCTGCCGCGGGGCGGCGCGCGCGCCGGGCCCGCCGCTGCTTCGCGGCGCCGGCGGGCGCCGCGCCGCCCGCGGGCCGCGCAGCGGAAGGGGGGTGGGGGGGGGGGGAAGGCTTCTTAGAAGCACCCCTGCTTCTTAGAAGGCGCGGGCCTTCTCTGGAGCCGTAAGGCCGAGGCCTTCTAAGAAGCAGGGCGCCTCTAAGAAGACTTCCCCCCTCCCCCTACCCCCTTTTTGCGCGCCGCCAACAGAAGCTGCGGCTGGCCGTGGGGCCCACGCGTCGTGCCCCGCGGGGCGGGCCGGCTGCCGCGATGCCCAGGGCTGCGCTGCTCGCTCCTGCGCTGGGCCTCGCCGCGGCCGCGCTGCTCCCGCTCTGCGTCCTGGTCGTGCGGACGTCCGAGGTGGTTCTGATCGAGAGGCTCGGGAGGTACAATCGCAAGCTGAAGCCGGGGCTGCACTTCAGGCTGCCCATCGTTGAGAGCGTGAGTGCGAGGCTGACCCTTCGCGAGCAGGTGCTGGACATCCCCCCGCAAGGGTGCATCACTTCGGACAACGCGCCGCTCAGTGCAGACGCGGTGGTGTACTGGCGTATTTTCGATCCAGAGAAGTCTGTGTATGAGGTGGAGCAACTCGTACTCGCAATCCAGAACCTTGTGCTCACGCAGCTACGCGCGGAGATCGGCAATTTGACCCTTGACGAGACGTTTTCTTCCCGCGCGCGCATCAACAAGGTGCTCCTGGAGGACCTGGACGAGGCCACGGACCCCTGGGGTGTAAAGATCACGAGGGTGGAGGTGCGCGACATCATACCCAACAAGGACATCCTCGCCTCGATGGAGCTGCAGATGGCCGCGGAGCGCAAGAAGCGGGCGCAGATCATCCAGTCCGAGGGGCAGAAGCAGGCGATCATGAACGAGGCCCAGGGGCGCGCCGAGGCCTTGAGGATTGAGGCCGAGGGCGCGAAGGCCGCCAAGATCCTGGCGGCCGAGGCCGAGCAGCAGCGGCTCCGCTGCGAGGCGGACGGCACCGCGGCCGCACTGCAGGCGATCACGGCCGCGGCCGGCGGCGACGCCGACCGCGCGCTGCGACTCCAGGCGCTGCAGGCGTACATCGGCGCGCAGAAGTCGCTCGCGAGCTCCGACAACACGAAGCTGTTCTTCTTCCCCTCGACCGAGGAGTGCACGGCCAAGGCGGCCGCGGTGCTCGGCGAGGCCCTCCGGACGCCCGCGGCGGAGGGCAAGCTTGGCGCCGGTGCGGGGGAGGGAGGGCTCGGCACCGACTCGACGAGCTGATGGCACTCTTCGCGCCTTGCTGCATGCACTGCGGCTGCTTGGCGCCGTCGCGTGCATCATTCTGTCACGTGGACGTGCACAGCCTGGCTGGAGCGCCCGTCATGCGCAAGTGGTCGCGTGCATCTGCGGACACCTCCGAGCTTGCCGAGGTGTGCAGGCAGCGCTCTGCCATAGCGCCTGCTCGAGTTGCACCGACTGGGAGCTGTCAGAATGTACCCTACTAGTCTGAGTCGATGGGGCGTCGAACGGCAATGAAGTTGTTGGCCAAGTTTCGTCATTGTCCGACGCCCACGGAATTGGTCGAGGCCGCTTAGCAGTTGGAGCGCTACTGGCGAAATGATCACTCCGTCGCTTAGGGCGCAGATGGCTCCGATGTCTGACGGATGAGCCGTGCGTGGTCGACCGACACGGGCATACGTCCTGAGAAGCCTTCGAGCGAAATATTCCCGCGTCCCTTGCAGCCCGCACCTGTGCATCGCATATTGACGCGTACCTTCCGAATCCCGACAGGTGGGGCAGGGGCCACAGGCGCGGGTAGCCCGCGAGTGTGATTGCCGACGGCCCCTTTCACACGCCACAGCTTTCAGGTGTGCTTTTGGAGACCCATGCCAAGAAACACCCTGCTTGCCTCCAGGGTGCCCTGGATTTCTTGGGTTTCGATGGTTTGGCTGTGGAAAGCGTGACGTCCCCAAACCAAAAATCGCTGGACGTTCTGGGGTATCAAGGTTGGGTTTCTTGTGGAAGGTTTCTTGTGGTCGAGCGGGCTCGCACACCCTCACGCAAGCACACACAGGCCGACGCGCGCGCATCCGTTCCACGCCTCCGAGGAGTGATCGGAGTGCCATGCTCTCCTGGCTCGACAAGGGCGAGCCCAACGCGCACCCGATGCCCAGTTGCAGAGCAGCATCCAACACCCCGCCAACCCACCCTCACCCCCCACATTGGCAGGCAATCGCGCACTCACCTAGCGCAGCTCTTGCATTGCATGCGCATGCGTGTGGAACTCCACGTAGCTTGACATTACAGCCTACAGCGGCCGCACCCCCACAGCAGTTGTGTGCGTCCTCCACTCGTGAGATGATCGGTGCGCCCTCCCTTTTCCGCCCATGCTGACTCTCACCACTCGCGGCGCATCGCGATGCAGCTTGCCTCTGATGCGTGTGAACGCCTGTGTGCATCCGATTGATTCTTCCTTACGTGATTGAGCCAGCGGTGCCAGGGGACACCGCCGAGCTTGCGGCAGCGCGGTTCGTGGGAAGCGCCCCCCGTCAGTCTGCTGAATCGTCTCCAAACCGCTACATGCGCAGCGGGGAGCCCCGAGGGCCGAGCGGCAACCTGCGCCGGCGTGAGTCGCGTGAGTGCGCGGTCAGTCCAGCACTCGTCCAAGACGAGTAGTAATGATGCAGTAGCTCATCAGTTGTGTTCCTCTGCGTTCTTGTTCCTTCGGGCTTCCTGCCTCCATGAACCATGGCTTTTGCCAGACGCTGCTGCAATTGATCCAGGATGGGCCTCCCGGGGGCCTTGCACCTCTACTGATATCCTCACTGCCGGCTGTGACTACAGGAGCGTTAGAAGATGTGATGTATAGAGTCGTTTGTGAGGGGGACGAGTTTACATGGTCGGGACCCTGGCCGAGGCGAGGGGCGTACGAGCCGCTCACCCACGGCGTTTGCCACCTCAGCGCTTAAGTTCTTACCACGTGCGTTCTTCCCCCATGCTTGACTGTGTGGGTTGTCGTGCGCGCGTGTCTTCGCGTGTGCTTCCAGGTCGTTGTCAATGACCATTGAGGAAAGACTAGGGATAGGGGAGGGCGAGGGTTCCACGAGCAGGCGATTGATCTGTCCCTCTTGCAAGCACCATTATGTTTGATCAGGGATGGATGTGCGCAAGCTCGGCAAGCATGGGGAACGTCAAGGTAGCACTCGTGCTGGAGATACAAACATCTCCAGTGGGCCTATGGCTTGTTGGCGGGGCCCTTAGTTGCTCGAAGATCCACATGCGTCGCTGGCGAGAGCAACGAACTGCCACCGATCTTTGGACATGCATATGATGTGTGTGTGTGTGTGTTGGAGCGCATTGTCGCGGACCATCAGGTTACAAGTAGCAGTGATAAGATAATGATCGCACTGGGAGCCCTTGAGAAGTCACGTCTACAGTTGGACTGGAAATCCCGAGGTCCAGCTGCAAGATGGCCAGGTGGCATGGCCCTCCACGTATTCTGTGCGACGTTCTTTGAGTTCCAGATTCTGTGGAATTATCCAGTTGCCTGCGGAACCCCGCCAGCGAGCCAGCGCGGTGTCGAACTGAATGCAGCAGGGCGGTTCTGCCGGGCACTCCCGGACAGTCTTGGTAGAGCCAGGCTGGGGCGGCTTCGGAAGCAGTGCTAAGAGATGTTGTGGCTTGGCGCAGCCGTACCGCTGCACGGTTAGTACGCTACTTCGTGGGGGTTTCTTAGACGTTCGATGGGTGTTTCTTTGTGGCCTCTCGTGGGCCTATTGGTGCCTTCGCGAGGGCTCCTGCCGCGGCGTTGGAGGAGGCTGTTGGGGGTCTTTGGGCCGTCTTGGGCGCGAAGACTCGACCGAGCTCTCCCGAAGAAGCTCGATAGAGCCGTCTTCCGGCCGTCTGGGCCGTCCTTGGGATTCTCTTGGGGTGGTATTGCGGCCTTCTGGGACCGTCTTCCGGCAGTCCGACATATATGTGAAGCAACGTTGGAGAGAAAGCCGAGGCAGAAGCATGGATGTTCTGAATGGGGGCTGCCTCCCGTGCCCGGATGAAGGGCTCCTGGCATCTCCTGGCCTCCCGAGGGTTTGTTGGGGCCTCTGAGAGCATCTCGGGAACATGTTTGGTCCTGTGTGGGATACGTGGACCATCTTGGGCCAGCCTCTGGGCAAATCGATGCCGTCTTGGGGAGGTCTTAAGCGTCTTGTGGCCGAGGGGAGCGCCAGTGAGCAGAAGTCTGGAGGCGGCTTCCTACGCTCAGCCACGCGCAGAGGGGGCAGGAGGAAGAGCTTCTTGGAAGCACCCCTGCTTCTTAGAAGGCGCGGGCCACATCTGTAGATGTGAGGCCAGCGCCGCGTCTAAGAAGCAGCCTCCTCTGAGAAGCCCTCTCCCCTCCCTCCACCCCCGTGTGCGCGCCGCCAATACGCGGATGGGCGGGGAGGAAGGAGGCCCCCCCTGGAGAAGCACAGAAGCACTGCGGGAGAGCCCACTGGCATTCTGTCACTCCCCGGCCGGCCGTGCCGCTGGCACGGCGGTGGACTTCAGCACCTCGCTGCGCTCACCTGGGCGACCACCGCTTGGCGCACGGGGGCAGAGGATGAGATCTCAAGAGTGGAGCATGCTGTGTGCCAGATGTGTTGTCATGACCACAGTGGGGGGGCCATGCCAAGAAACACCCGGCTTGCCTCCAGGGTGCCCTGGGTTTCTTGGGTGTCGATGGTTTTGCTGTGGAAAGCGCGACGCTCCCACACCAAAAATCGCTGGACGTCCTGGGGTCTCAGGGTTGGGTTTCGCGTGGAAGGTTTCTTGTGGTCGAGCCCCTACTCTGTATGCGTTGGACTGCCCTCGCCGTTTCATTCCCAGTGGCCCGAAGGGCTTCCACAGTCCGGGGTGCGCGCTGCGGCCCGCGCTGATCCAACTGGTGGAGCCTGCTCGGTCCTGCCGATTCGTTCGCTCTGGAATCCTCCGCTGTGTGTCGGTCATTCCTCCTCTGAACCCTGCGCCTCCTGCTGCTCTTCATGGTGTTGCGCCTCCTGCATTTGGCTCTATTCCTCGTCGCCCTCCTTTCCTCTCGGCCTGCTCCCCGCCCTCCTTCTGCTAGCCGTCCTCCCCGTCATCCTCCTGCTCCTCCGTATGTTCATCTGATTCCTATCTTCCCAGTCCTTCTCCTCCTTTCTTTCCCATGCTCCTGTCGCTCCTCCTCCTCCTCCTCAACATCTGCCCTTTCCTCCTGCTCGTTCTTCTCAGGTCGACCAACTGTGGTGTCCAGGGAGGCTCTCTCTCTCTCTCGCTCGTTCACGTTCTCTCTCTCTCTCTCTCTCTATCTCTCTCTCTCTCTATATATGCCCCTTTATCTAGGTTCACCAGCGTGGACCCCAAACGGTGTGTAGCAATATCTACATATAGATGGTGCAATGCATGTGGGGTAAATTACGCGGTGAAACTGAATTGTTTACAAACGGATTGGAGTGGTGGTGCGCATCAGAGTGCGAATGGGAGGGGAGGCGTTCGGTATGGCTCGGCCGACTTGGCCGCGAACGGGCGTCTGAGTGGTTTCGAATTATGCCGCCGCTGTGACACGCCACGGTTCGGGCGGGGGCCGATTACATGCGCAGAAGCAAGAGCTGGAGGAGGAGCAAGGAGGATCCTCGTGCAGACGTGGAGGCGATTCAGGAACCATTCAAAGCAAAGAGAAGATGCCTTGTAGTTCTTTGGAGTCTGTTGCCGAGTCGTCTTCTTTGGCCTTGGCCCTGGCCGTCACGCCTGGCCTCTGCTGTTTACATTTGAGGGGTGAACGTGGTCTCACCCTTGTGTGCAGACGTTCTCTGAGTCTGCTTGCTCTCTCTCTCTCTCTCTCTCCTTCCGTCTCTCTCTCTCTCTCATTCTGCCCCTCCCTCTTGCTCTGGGCTACTGTTTCGGGGCCTCGCGGTGTGGCAGCATGTGCACAGAGGGTACCGAGACTGAGTAGCGTTCCAGTGGTCACAGGATCAAAGGAGGTCTCTGCCCACCCACCCCTGCTTTACACTTCCTCCTATTCCTCGTCCGCCTCATCGATCCGCTTCGCGTGCCGGTAGGAAGGGGACCAGGCGTCTCGCTTGAGACCTTCTCGCAGCGTATGAGGTTGAAGCTTGAAGTTCCGAACGGCCACGCGGATGGAAGGCGAGTCTTGTTCCACGTGCTGTTTCCGCGTGGGCGGCGCGCACATTCGCCCTAGAAGCTTCGACACACACCCATGGGTGCAGGGCGGGTGGTTCTCAGCATGTGTTCGTCGGGGCACCGTC